AATGTATGTACAAATTTGTTTTTCTGGCTTAATTTAGCTGTCGCGGCTTTTAATCGGGTGCGCTTTGTAGTCAAGAAATTACAGTAGGTGAAAAGTCGATCATCAAAATAATCGTTTCTGGCAGCCCACCATGCACACACAAAGAGGAATTGTATTCCAAGAAATGGAACAAAGGAGAAAAAAACCCCACTTATATGTCAGAATGAATGTCTTACCATCTGAGTTTGGCCACAAGTGCTGTTTTGACCAACACACTGACAAGAGATGGCCCCACTTAACTGAAGTAAAAACAGATGAGAGTAGCCTGTTAGCCCACTGAGTTGACCTGAGCTCACCTCTGTGAGTGCAATTTTCAAACTTCACTTTCATTTTTTTTTTTGAGCGCTTCCTATTCTGACAGTTTTCCGACTATGTGAGCCGAGATTGCACGAAAATGACCTTTTCAGAGTTGTGAAAAGAAAAGTGGGCAGTGAAAATCGGCACTGGCACACACAAGTGTAAAGCCCCTGAATAAAAATACTTTTTTCTTTTTTTTTTTGTGGCAATTGGTTCTGTTTACCGTATTTTCCACATTATAAGGTGCACCAAAAAGCATTAATTTTTATCCATAGCCGACAGTGAGCCCTATAATCCGATGTGCCTTATATATGGATCAATATTCTGATTTCTTGGACATAGTATTTTAAATGTTCTTTGTTACAGCTGCAGCGGTTGTGAAACCTCGACATAAATAAAGCTGTATTGTATTGTATTGTATTCTCTTTAGCATAGCTCCATCTAGTGGCTCCATAATGCAACCCCTGTCACTATTGTAGCTTCTATTCTATGCGCCTTATAATGCGGTGCGCCCTACATATGAAAACTGTTTTAAAATAGGTCATTCATTGAAGCTCCGCCTTATACTGGGAAGCGCCTTATAGTGCGGAAAATATGGTATATTTAAAAAGAAACATTTTCCTAACCCCCTTGTGCGATATTTGTTTTCGATTCATGACAGGGGTCATGTTTTATTCAGTAATTTGTTGAAATGAATGTAAAAATGGACATTTTATTTTAGTTCATATTTTTGTTGTTGTTATTTTGAATGACATTTTGTTTTGAATATTACAGCATTATTGCACATGGCTTGACCGACCTCCAGAAGTGGATCTTTGACTCATAAAAAATATTGGCGGGCCTGCAAGACACCATCAGAGGCTGAACTGTTCTTTTCATTTACACAAACTGATCTAACCAATCCATGTTTAATATGTTATCATGAAGGCGGACGATGGTTCGCTACTTTTTCGCAAAATTAATCTACAGTCAATTTCACACAATCAAGGAAAAGGACAGTGGCCGATTTTGAGTGTTCAATGAATTTAACATGTTTTGGGGAGAGCGGAAGAAGTACACAGAGAAAACTCAAGCAAGCACGGGATGGAAACATAATATTTATATACCGTAATGTATACAACGTGTAAACACAGTAAAATTAAGCACTCAAGCCCACCACAGGACCACTGCCGGGGAAATGCCACGGTTCAAAATAAGAATTGATGTCCAGCCACCCCCAAAATTGTCTCGCTGGCCGTATGTCACCCTTCGGATAATTCTGTCGCAGGTATTCTAAGAATCTGTCTCAGGAAAAGATTATCCAGGGACAGCTGCACGCTCTCTAATTTTAAGCGGAGGCCCGAAGGATACGGGGCTTCGCGTTGCGTTGAGCTGAGAGATGGGAAACAAAATCAAATCAAATTCAATGCGACGCTCTGTTCTCTAGGGCCGTGAGAAGTTCAGGGTCTGCTCTTACGGCACAGACTCAACCTGGTGACGCCTCACGGTTCACTCGGCTATTTTATCCACACCCCCCCCCACCCCCGTTGCTATGGCAACTAAACCTACAGGCACATGAAAACCCACACGGAGGTGAGAATGAGGTCCCGGTACCAAAGCGGCATGTATGAAGCACTAAATGAGAATTTCTGAGTTATTTCTTTCTTTCTTTTTCTTTTTTGACATTAATAAGGTGACATTTTAGGTGTTTGTTGTTGGAGACGAGAGTGCATTCAGCGGCATTATGTTTGAGCATCCACATTGACATGCCTAAATGCCCCCCAACACCAATTAACCGTGCATTGTGATTCGCATGTGAAAATGTTTCAGTCATAGCTTGAAGCAAGGCCATTGTGACCTCAGACCTCTCTTCAAATCCTCAATGAGCAAACAGAGTTGGGGGAAGGACAAAAAGAAAAAATCAGGGTTTGGACAGCACATTAGAGACAATTATGTAAGTGAATGAAAAGTCAATGCAACTTGCTGACCTTCCTGATAGTACTGCTGATTGCATAATTTGCCTTTGGCAACCTGGAAGTTCTGTTTCATCATGCGGGCTTTATATTTGCTGTTCATCTTTTAAATATTAAGTTTTGACTGAAAAAGAAAAGTAAAAAAAAAAAGTCATGTTTAATTGAAATCTTTTTAATTATTTATGATTATGCACTTGTGCATCTGCACATTAAGTGTATGTATACAAACACACACACACACATACACATATATACATGGGGCGGCCCGGTGGGCCAGTGGTTAGCGCGTCGACCTCACAGTGCAAACGTCGTGGGTTCGATCCCGGCTCCAGCCTCCCTGTGTGGAGTTTCCATGTTCTCCCCGGGAATGTGTGGGTTTTCTCCGGGTACTCCGGTTTCCTCCCACATTCCAAAAACATGTATGACAGGCTGATAGGACACTCCAAATCATCCCTAGGTGTGAGTGTGAGCACGGGTGGTTGTTTGTCTCCATGTGCTCTACGATTGGCTGGAAACCAGTTCAGGGTGTTCCCCGCCTACTGCCCGAAGACAGCAGGGATAGGCTCCAGGAACCCCCCCCGCGACCCTTGTTAGGATGAGGCGGATCGGAAAATGAATGAATAAAAAAAGGTGAATTTCATGTTTGGTTCATTGTAGACTCTGACTAGCCACTGGTATGAAAGGTTGCGCGATACCGTTTCAATATTTTATTATTGCAGCTGACTACCACTGTAGTGGACTATTCCAGGAAGCAAATACAGGCTATCTCAAAGCTCTTGTGATAACAGAATCTGTGTGATGTACTTTTAGTAATGACATTTACAGGATGTACTGTTTGGCAGAAATTGTACTGGCGGAGGTTTTAAAATTGACGGATGATGAATGTTTCATTGACTTGAAATTTGAAAGCGTCAGCCGTTAATGGGTCCCGTGATGCAAAGTTTAAGTGGTGCCAAATTCCAATAACGATATCTCTGTCCGTGTGTGTTTGAGCGGATACATGGGAGTGGGAATCCTGGAGGAGGACATGGTACTATACCATATTGTGTTTCACTGATATAAAGAGAAAGAACAGATGGCTGGTCAAAAAACGTTTTTGAAAAATATGCCTCAAAAGTTACATCAAACAAAAGTGTGTATTTAGTTTAGTTTAGTTTTTTTTTGTGTGACACCATCAGAGAAGTGTACCATTAATGGAACTCATTGAATCTGAAATGGAAGTTTCTGTGATATAGGGAATGTTCTGGGGCTGAGAAAAAGCAATTCTGATGAAATGCCACAAGTTCACTGCAAAATTACCTTCTTGTTCAGTTTCCAATCTCCTTAAAAGGGTGAGTCGTCGCATTTTATCGAACAAAGGTAGTTTGACAGCGGTTAGCTTGTCTACATTTGGATGACACTGAATCCTACTGTTAGGTTTGTTTCCTTAGTACACCAAAAATATGCATGGGTGACCCAGGCACATTTTGGGGTCAATACGAGCCATGTTTCAACAAAAAATGTGTGTCTGTGTGTTATATTGGGGTAAAAAAGAGAAAAGGACGTGAGACACAAATGATTTGACAATGAGGGGATATTGAGAGCATATACTGGATGGTACACATCTCCTATGTTATTTTCACTGTTTTGAAATATTACTAGTGGGCGGATTATTTTTGAACATTTTGGGGGGAAAAAATCATTCACAAAACGATTCAGCATTTGGAAAAAAAAACAATTCTTAACAAGGACATGCATATTTTGATTGATACTGTGACAGTCAGTTACAACAACTTGGTCTCAGGCAATATGATATGCTTTCTGGACCCAAGAGCAGGGGTGTCGCCCTGCTCGAGGCTGTTTGAACGCATTTTTCACGAGCTGAACTGAACGATCTTTTTCTATGAACACAAGAGGCCTTCTTCTTTCAAATCCTCACAAATCTGTGTTACTGAGCACTTGTCCTTTGCCAAGAAAGTCCATCGACGTCACGCGCGTGTGGAAGATAAACAGAGGCGCAGGTGTGTCACCGACTGCCCACTGATATTGATACCGTACAGATAGTGCCCGGTTTTCTGACTGCCTGAACAAACGCTATATCGTAAAACGGCACATTTTTTATAGAGTAGCCGTTTATTGTCGGCAGCCTAAGACACACCTGAGCAAGACTCGGGAACACCTTTTCCAACATGCAATCCCACGACGCCAAAATCATCCGCAGCCTGGCCACACGTTGCATTCAAGAAAATCGGAATTTCTTAAATTACCGGTGTTTAACGAGCTCATGAAAACAGGTTCGGCATGCTGCTTGTGAGGAGATGAGCAATGGTGAGGATCTGACCGACCATCTCATCTCTTAGTCATGAGATGAAGGGTGGGCCGCGATGTTTGGAGTGTCCGCATGCACGCAGCTTTGTGTTGGCTCTTAAAGTTGCATGACTGCCGCGTGCCGAGCCCTCCTCCACACTAGATTCCTCTTGGTTTTGCCTCACTCAGTGGGAGATACACACGTACAAACACACTCAATAGCAGCCTCAATTGCAGCCAGCACACACCCGGGTTTTTGTGATCTAAAAAGAAAATGAGCCCCCTTAAATATTGTGAATACTGTAATAATAATAATAATAAAAACCCATCTCCATCAAGGCCTTCATTTTGAAAAGATCGAATCTTCAGACGTATTGTCAGGTTATGAGGTTAGGGATTGGTAATGACATGAATGAAAGACAGCAGTCACCGTTTCAAATGCCTTTAATGGTTCAGTTGGTATAGGTTTGGAAGCTTTCGGTCAAGACATTGTCAGCAGCCAAAACAAAAAACAACGAATCGATGTTGACTGAGATTAAAATAATATACAAAGTCTCCTCTTCTAAAAATGAAAATCACAGTAAAAATCCAACAGCAGCGTGCTCTCTCTCTCTCACACACACACACGCACGCACGCACAGTAACAAAGGTTGCAGAACAACCCTGATAAGCAAAATGTACAGTAAGACGGCTTCAGAAGAGGAAAACAAGTATGCATAGACAAAAACAAACAAACAAACAAAAAAAGGAAGCAAAGATGTTTCTTTGCTGTTTACAATGATTGCTAAGGACATTAAAGGGGGGAAAAAGGGAATAAAAAGCGCACAACGGTCAAGGTGAGACGAGGCGAAGCTCCTCGGCAGACGTGCGAGACTTTCAAACGTTACAATGACATCATTAAATTACACCAAGTGTAGTCAAAACACATTAAATACTGAGCGCAACTAGAAAAGCACCCTGATTAGTTAAGATCAATATGCCGAGTCGAGTAAAAGACTTTTTTTTTCTCCAGTCTGAACAGAATCTGTCTGTTTATTTATATTTTTGCCAATCTCCCATTTGATAGTAGTGCAATAGAGACAATACAAAAAAAAAAAATAGCACACACAGTTCTGCCGTTTTGGTTGCTTGGAGTTAAAAGTGAACAAATACTTTTGATCACCGCAACGATAGGTTCGAGGAACATGAATCGGTTCAGTAAACAATAAATTACATGTCTTTTTTTTTTTTAAACAAATGTCTCAATGTGCTATAAAAAAAAAAAAGCACACAATCACTTTTCCCAAGTAACTGTACAAGAAAGCCCCCCCCCCCTTGTCTCAATAACCCAAAACCAACAACTGCCATGCTTTAGGCAGAATGTGCACCTGTGTCTTCTCATGTAATTTTTTTTTTTTTGTTCACACTTGTTCAAAAATAAAGCAGCACAAGCGCAAAGTGGGGCTTCGGTTCAAATGTGGGGAAGGGGGAGGAAGGGGGTTTAAAAAAGAAAATCCCCTTCCACGCAATGTTTTACACATAAATCACACTGATCCTGTCACCGGCTATAATCGGCCACCGGTGATGAATGGCCGGTCTGCTGTGAACGTGAACACCTGCGCGCACATCAGCTCGCTGCTCGCTTTGGCATGCGTGCATTCAACCAAAAAAGAAGAAGGGGTCATGTGTACACTCCTATTTTTAAAAACATTTTTTTTTGTTCTTCAACACTGAGCTTTCCCAAAACTGTTAGTTGGTAAGCCTTTACACGTGTGCTCTTTGAAATGTGTGTGATGACCATGTTATTTTTCTTTTCTATTTTGGAAGAGAATAGCTCTAATGCCGGCTTCATATTAAAACGCACGGCCGAGCATTGACAAATGTGTTAACGTGTAGGGAATTTTGTTTTTTTCTTCAAAACTCCTTAGAGTGTGCGGGCATTGATCTTTTTGACCTCGGAGGTAGGAATTAACATGGCCGTGGACAAAACCTGACTCATTGCCGTAATGTTGACGGGGTCGGTGGTAAAATTGTGATGGTCAACAAGACAAATCAATACCTGGTTGGAGGGGGGGCTGGACACACCAAAGGAATGGTCCGTGTTTGCCGCTGAATGACAAGACGATCGGTAGAACGCCTCCGAGACTTTATGTCGCGACTTTCTGAAAGGAGCAGTGGGTGTTTATAAAAAGAGGCCGCACAGATCAATCATGACACAGTCACTTCACATCGCTGCTTCTCACTTGATCCAACGCGTGACCGACAAAATAAACAAACAAACCAAAAAAAAAAAAGAAACTACGTTTGATGTTCATCCACACAATTTGAGCATTATCACAGTCATCCGCTTTGATGGATGAGGAAGGAGTTGACCCGCGGCGATCCGCTTTCAGTGTGTCTCCTCCAAATTGGAAGGCAGACCGACAGAACAGGTCTGTCCGTCCCTTCCAGGTCGATCCTTCACACTTGAGCTCATCTGTGTTGCGTACATATCCGGGGACGGGTGGGGCGGGATTGGGGTGGGGGGGCTTCGTGGTCACTGTCGTCGATCCTCCGTCTCTGACCTCGAGAACGCCATCACTACGTCCTCTGCGCCTGTCAGACAAAGAGTCAGACGGGACATGTTTTTGGAATGTGATTTTGGAAGTTCAATCCGTCAGCATATCCCGCCAGACGTCAGTTGACCTTCAGCCTAAATCGGGCGGTCTGTTGTATTGCCGCTCATCAAATATCGTTCATTATTGAAGATGGTTTGACCTGATTGGTTTTGGACCCATTTGGACAAATCAGACAAATCCACTCTTGACTCATCTCACACGAAAGGATAATCTTACAAGGCGATCTTATAAAACACGTGTCAAACTCAAGGCCCGGGGGCCAGATCTGGCCCGCCATATCATTTTGTGTGGCCCACGAGAGCAAACCAAGCATGTCAACTTTTCCATGATGCTTGCTAAAGTCTGAACCATCCACCCATCCATTTTCCGATCCGCTTATCCTCACTAGGGTCGCGGGGGGTGCTGGAGCCTACCCCAGCCGTCCCCGGGCAGTAGGCGGGGGACACCCTGAGCCGGTTGCCAGCCAATCGTAGGGCACATTGAGACAAACAACCACCCGTGCTCACACTCAAACCTAGGGACAAGTTGGAGTGTTAAATCAGCCTGCCATGCATGTTTTTGGAATGTGGGAGGAAACCGGAGTGCCCGGAGAAAACCGGGCACTCCGGCCAGGAAGAGGCAAAAATAACGACAAAAATCGGCTGATTTGTCGTTGCATACCTGGCCGAAAGCAGTGTTAGAATTGGGGGCTACCATTTTATCTGCACCATTCATTAAAAATCTACAAATAACCTAACAATGCTGAATTTAATTACAGCTTATGTGGAAAATTCTCCATGCGCTCAAATCTTTTGAGCTTCACCTCACAAACTGTCCATCGAAACTGGACACAAATGAAAAATCATCGAAAAGAAGTCAATTAACATCCAACAACATCCAGCCATGTGCACATCTACTCAGTTTCCAATTGAAAAAGGCATTTCTTGTTCAACTCGTGATCTGGTGCCTGTGTCGATAAGCTGAATGTTGACATTGACGCCGCTAACACCTTTTCAGTCACGAAGAAAGCAGCAGCTAGTGATTGAAAAAGAAAAAGAAAAAAGCTGTTATCTCTACAGCCCTCAAGTGCCTGTTGGACTTAATTACTGTGCAGATATTGAAGTAGGCCAGAAACCTTGAGCTTTCTCCTTTATTTGGCACAAACATCAGACACTCCTCAACAGACTGAGACAATTATGTTTCTGTATGGCATTCAGGTCGAGCTTGGCAGGGTGTTTTTCTTTTTTTTCCTGTCTCGGTGCTTTTAATGTGAACTTTTAAGCTTCATGTCTCGTGGCAGCACACTGGCCGACTAAATGAGGTTATGGTAATGAAGCCGGCCAACAAGCGAGAACAAACAGGAGACGGCGTCTTGATATTTGCTGTTAAGAAAGGCAGGTGCGCGTCGAGAGAATGAACAATTACGCGACACCTCGCGTTCGGCCGAAAAACAAAACGTTTAACATCGCTTAGCTTGAGCAGCAATACTAAAAGGGAGGACGGGAACTTGGAGGAGGGCCGGCAAAGTGACTCTGTTTCACTTTATGAGTCATGTTCGGACCTTGCTCGGCCACAAACAAACACGCACACCCTTTGATACACAATGAAAGACGACACAAAGAAGCTGCGGCTGACGCACTGGAAAGGCCGGGCCTCTGAAAGCCGTTGCCAGGCGACAGATAATGGCCAGAATGCTGCAGGCAAAGTGCTTTTAGCTCGTTTCAACACAGCTCAGTTGTCTGGCAATAGTTGGGAGATGTCCCCTTCTGGGTCGGGGATTACAGCAACAGCGGCGGCAGAAACAGCTTCCAAAAACAGGCATGTGATCCCATTTGCACAACGTAAACACTGTGAGGGGAAGAATAGCTGCGGTTGCTAACGTGCTAAGAAAGACACTTTGGTGAGTTGGTTTTCAAAACACACAAATGGAGATGGATCACCGCTAAAAATCACTAAGTGCAAGATTTTAGGGAGTGTGTGCGACTCGCAAACATCAACTGGGTTCAAGTGAGAGAGATGGAGTCTTTTCTGATGAGGAGGCATTAGAAAGTTGAGAAGTTTCATCCTCTGAAAAAGCAGCCCGAATGCCGAATGTTTCCTTCGTCGTGGGCCAAGTATTGTTCTCGCTTCTGGGTCACAATCTGTGACTCCCCAAGCCGCTGTATGAGCGCTCAAGCTTAACACGTTGACAACAACAAGCAGGTAGCGTATTTTCACGACCATAAGACGTACATAAAAGGCTTAAATTTTCTCCAAAATGGACGGGGGGTGCCTAATAAAGCGGGTCATTTTATATTTGCATCGAGATCCATAATCTGTGAATGCTGTTGTGCGACTTCAATAAAGGGTCCGCTTGATTGACTGATGTGACAACACCGTGCTTATTTCGAGGAAAGGCAGACGTAACTGAGGACAGCATGTGGACGTTAAAGTGGGAAGGGTGGGCATGAAAGAGGACGCTAAAAGCACGCGCCCAGTAGGTGCTGGGACATGCAGTGTGCAAAACATCATCCGGAAAAAATGGCACCTATGAAGGGACACGCTTACGAGGCACAGTTTGAAAGCTACGCGGAGGACCATGGGAATTCGAGCAGCCGTGAGAGAATTTAAGATCAACGAATCCATGGTGCTTTTGTTTCATGAAACGGCGCCATCTATCCATCCGGGCTAGGACGACCGTGCGCAGCAACATCCGGTGGATTACAAGGAAAAGCCGGCCAACTTCCGCTGCGACTGCAGTAAAAAGTGTAATGTTCTGCGTTAAATTAAATATAGACGCTTTCTTGGAGATTTTAATTCTTTATTCTGCCGCTCTGCCGGCCTCACTTGGCTTCCAATACCGACTGTTCTCTCAACCAATCCCTACATTTCTAGTTCACCCGCTTGGGCTACGGCAAGTGATAATTGACAAGCATACTTTGCCTTTCGAAATGCAACAAAAAGATTGCAGACGAACACATGCAGCCCAACCACATCACCAACATGAACGAGGCGCCACTCACTTTCGCCATCCCGGTGAACCACATTGTAGAGAAGGGCACCAGCATGGCAGAGATACGCACCGTATTTTTTTAAGATAGCGTACATTTTACCATGCAAGCATCCAATAAGACAATGCGCCTTGTGTCTGCGTCAAATACAGTAATTGCACCCGTAGCCGACACTACGCCTTAGTGACACCTGAAAGGAAGAAACATGAAATGAGTATTCAAGTTTTTTTCCCCCCCTACAAATTGAAAGACGATTTGGATGGCTTCTCTGATGCAAACAGAAGACTGATTGAAGGAGCTTGAGACAGAGGTGGCACATTTGCACGGAAACATTTTTGACATAAAGATAAAAGCACACTGAAGGCTAAAATGAATATATTTGAAATATTTGCGCTGGATCACTTTTCATTGGAAATCCAGCCTTACACGACAGGTCTGCCTTATCGAAAATTGTTCAGCAAAACAGGACATTCCTCTAACTTCAAGGTCATCAAGTGAAACAAGAGCCCATATTTATGCATGAGCAGATGCTTCTGACAAACGAGAATTAAAATATCACACTTTGGCTGTGTAATTAACGCTCCAGCTAGCTTCTTATTCCAATCTACCGCTGCAATGTGTCGCGACAACACCGAAAGCCCACAGGGGAGTTTAAGATTTCCTGGGACAAGGGAGGTTGCTATGGCAACTCCTTTACGTATCTCTGCGCCTTTGTTGAGGAGTCCTTCTGTTTCTGGGGCAGAAGAACTTTGCTTTCTTAATAAGGATAAGGAGGACAGTGGTCTGGCTTCCTATTTAATTATTATTATTATTTTTTTTTTATACCAATGCTGTACAGTATTTGAATTAAAACAATGAAAGAGTACAATCTCTAAGTTACCCTCATTTTTATTTTGATAATATTACCACAGGATATTATATTGCAAAAATTGTTTTTCCTAATTTTTAATTGGGATCTGGCAGGAATCTAAGTCAAACCACAAACCGCAACAAACCGTAGGGTATCAACAGCAGATAAAAATAGATAGATAAATAAATAAATCAAAGAACCCATTTTCAAAACCATGACAGAAAAGCTGCCCCCACTCGGCCTGATTAAAATTGCAAAATATTTCGTCTTTGCGTGTATGGTAATGAGCCAATTAAAAATAGGTCCAATGCAAATCTGTACGAGCAATGCCCGCATTGATGTTTCAAGTTTCTGCGCAAAGAAGAAACCGCAGCTTGTGTTAGAGCAGCGGGGCACTTCTGGCCAGATTACATTGCAACCCCCCTTCAAAATGAGAATTTGCTTGTCCAACTCAAAGTGTACTGAGTGCAGCACGACTTCACAACTCATCATGATTGTTGTGGCCTTGGCGCCTAATCGATGAGGCTGTGGTCTGACACATGCCACTGAAAAACCCCCCCCCCCCCGGGACGCTGCTTTACAAAAGGAGCCATGTGACCATTGTGTGTTTTTTTTTTTTTTTTTGGATGGCTTCAATGCGTTTCCAAATTATCAGCATATTGCTGTGTCGTGTCAAAGGCATGACATCTTGCTGTTCAGAAGAGGAAGCCAATAACGGACACTTGACATGCTGAGACGGAGGAGTCATCATCCACCCGAGAGTCTTTCAAAATGCCAACCGCTGAAGCAAATATAGACGCGTTACTTTTTGATCACAGTTTTCATACCAACCTGACATGGATGGCACGTGCTATGTCATGCGGCAACAAAACAACACGCGGGTCCATTAAAGATAATCACACCAGCACAAGGAAGGAGGAAGCCGTAAAAAAGGGTGCTATCATGCTATTAACACATTCTGCTGCAGCTGTTGTGAGGTTGAGAAAATGTCAATTTTTGTCATTTTGAAGATCACGCCACGAACAAGGTGTGTACAGCTTGATCCCTTTCAGTACTCCAGCTCACTTGGAAAAAAAAGAAAAAAAAAAAAAAACAACCTTATAATTGCAAAGAAACTTTCATTTCCTTTCATTATCCCGCAAAAGTATATTATGCAGTTATTCCTCATTATATTAAATTGCCTTAAATTTATACACAACAATAGCAATAACAATTACAGAGGAGTCATTTCCGGATTCAAGTATCAGATTAAAAACAATCACATATAGCGTCGCGCGATTGCTACATGTAAATAAGATCAGATTGTGAAATTCATATCCAATGCGTCTCTTTCAAATCACCTCGATGGTTGTAACGAATGTCCTTGAGCGCCGGATTGAACATTTCCAAGTGATTAACGGCACTACAGTGAGCTCCATGAGGCCTAATTACTGCACTTTGGATAAGATGAACACCACTAATTATTTATTAGCACACAGTGGGAGGGGGGCCGGCAGTCTGCCAACAGACACTGAACTGTCTCTTTCTGTGATGTATAATGGATACTCAGCACACCTTTTTGCCAGCTGTGTTTGTTCATAAGTACTGAGGGTCTCCCTACTTGCACAGATATATCGCCAGTATTCTAAAAAAAGTGGGGAGGGGCATGCAAGGACATGCAGTACAAACTGATGTGAAATAAAAACTGACTTCCATTTTGTAAGGGCCAAAATTGATTTTTTTTGTGGTATGTGTAACACTAGTTATATGATACAGAACAGCATTAAATACTGCAGTCTATGGCAGGTCTGTGCATTGTTTTTATGTAGCGCCATGAGAGTGCCATCTGATGGCAGTTTCACGAGGAAGGCGCGGTTGGAGTAAAATGTGGTCAAAGGCGCCCTCTGGTGGCAAAAATCCATCACAGCAACCATCTCTCACTAAATCACATCTCTGAACGCTTGATCACGCTGACAGAGGTCAGACTAGTGCCGTTCAGAGCTCTGCCCGGGACATGTGTGGAAAGAGACTGTTAAAAAAATGCACACGCAGCACACAGGATGATTCATTCTCTTGCAGTCAGTTTTGTTTGCTTGTGTGAGTAATCCCAGAGTGCTGTGGGACACTCAGAGGGCTTGAGTCAGGGAATCTGTGAGGTCTTGCTGGAGCGCACACGCCAGAAAAAAAATGTGCACAGGGATTACTTCCAGTTGCGTGGGTGTCACAAAAGTGCCTCTGTGACGTGGGAATACATTAAACCGGATGCTCTGCTGCGTGTGAGTCAGCCTTACCCTGATCGATGCTGTGCTGTGGCAGCTGGCTCATCTGACTGTGGACCACACCTGCATAATTCCGGAGAAAAGCCTCTTCACTTGGCGTAAGCTGCAAATTGTGTTCACAATATATCAGAAATAAATCATCAATCTTCTTTCAGCAGCGCACAGTGTGATTATGATTGCAGTTAGACTTTGTGTTGCACATTTCTCACACCATGTAAATGAATAGGGTAACCAAAATGTGTCGCACGTACATTTGACCCCATTTTTTTGAGCATGAGCAGGACCCGCACTTTCTGCTGGATGTACATGTCTTCAGGAGACTTTCCCGGGGCCTCCTCGCGGTTCATCCCCCCTGCTCCTGTGGCTCTGCGCACACACCCACACGCACACACACACACACACACACACACACACACACACACACACACACACACACACACACACACACACACACACAATGAAACACAGCCACTTACCGGGCCAGGCTTCCACCTTTTCAGGCCACATGCATTCCAAGTCACAGATATTAGTGCGGAACGTGAGGACAAGTGGACAACAATAATACCTACACCTCAACATGCACATGATGTTGTTTAATGCCGCCTGACCTGATTACTCCGATCAATAAAAAAAATTGATTCTAAAAACATTTGATAGCTGCAGTCCCAACTGGTGTCGCTGTGACTTTTTCTGTGTACAACAATCCACATTTATTTTGGTCCTTTTGGCAAAGGGCACTCTTGAAATTGCGATCTCTCTCTCTTTCTCTCTCTCTCTCTCTTTCTTTTTAAATTCTCATTCAAAGTTGGTATCTTCTGCACTTCACAGATGGCAAAGAATGGGAATCAGGAGAAGCATTTTGAAACAGTACACGTCAGCTACGATAGTAATGTTCATACATATTAACACGCTGCAAAAGTGCGTACCGCGCCTCCACGTCAGGTCTCCCAGTAATGTAGGTACTGATTTCCTTTTCACAAACTCTTGCATCTACTTTATTTTTTGGTTACATTCATGTTAGGGGCCGTTATGGCTGTTGCTCATCATGGCACGCGTGCGTGCGTATGCGCGTGCGTGTGTGTATGCATACACATGAGGTAATGGTCGATCGCGGGAGGTTGGATGGCTTGAAAAGTAGATCTTCGGTCATAAAAAGTTGGGCACCCCTGATTTATAGACTAGCCATGGAGGACCTTGCACTACTTTAGCAACAGCATTGAGTAGAGCTGCATTGGAAAAAAAAACATGATATGTGCTGTGGGTGTTGAATATTGCAATATAGATGTTATTATGATATTTAACATGTAACTCAAGAAATGGCAGTCAGATAAAAGCATACACTTCCATATGAAACTTAATGCACCTCTTTGTGCTACGCATATTGCACAGGGTATTTTTTTCTCTCGATATATTGTGCAGCCCTACGACTGAATATAAACGTTCATTATCCAGAAAGGCAAAAGGAGAGGGCAAGAAAAAAAAAATGCAGGTCCAATGTTGTACAGTCTGGTAAAATGACGATCTCACACCAGAACCCTGTGCACCCTTCCCCCTCCTGAGACAGGAATAAATCGTTAGAAGCTCGGCAGTCGTCCTGGCTACACAGTTGTCAAGGACTCATTAATATTTAATGTAAGGTTTTTTTTTTTTTCCCCTCTACAGATCTCATCCCTGCCTGCTCCTTCCATCTCTTCTTGTCGGTCTAACTAATGACCTATTTTCACTGCTATTCTGTCTGCAGAGATGCAAAATACAGGCAAAGGGGGAGGAAGTAGGGAAGGTGATAAAAAAACGCTGGCAAAGCGCGCGCGCACACACACACACACACACACACACACACACACACACACACACACACACACACACACACACACACACACACACATCAAGGTCAGCTGCTGTTGCATTAGATCCCACCTATCATATGCGCCAAGCATGCGGTGCGGCTTCATATCCAACCGGTGTAATGGGAATGTGACATCTAACGGTGCTAAAATGCACACCGGCTTTTGCTAATTGAGTAAGCGCAAGCTCGGCTTTACGCAAAAGAGTCATGAATCTAAATGAAACCAAATATAAACCGCGGCGAGGAGAATATCAGTATGCAAGAAAGGATGCGTTCCTTCCTGAAGAATTTTGTCGTCAAGAGTCACAGTGACTCCGACGGTTCTGGCAATTTAATTGGGCCTTTTATCGATATAAAAGGACCACTAATAAATGTTGACAGCTCTTTGATGGAGAGTGATAGTTAATTCAAGAGCTGGCTCAAATGGAAAGGCGGGTACTTGGATGGAGCTGCTGTTTTGGGTGTCAGTGGGAGCATGCGAATTGACTCTGATCTGATCCCGTGCACCTTTTCCAAGGGCGTTGGCTTTCAGCATTATCTTCCGACATGTTAAGCAGAGTGCCTGAGTTTTCAGGGGTTCGAAAATATGTACTTCAGCACAAAATGAAACTAAATATGTGAGGGAATTCATACCAGATACTAATACAAGGAACCCCCACTTATTCAAGGTTGGCTCTTGAACAATTCACCTGTTCACATTATTTTTGGGTGGAACCTGTTTTCACTTTTTGAGGTGGATTCCTGATATTTGTCAGACTAAAATATCAGATTAATCACTGACAGTATTTCAAATAAATATGAATTCAAATTTAACACTTACAATGGAGAACATTTGACATTTAACACAAAGGAGTAAATAGGCCTTTGTTAAGTTAACGTGCAAAATCAGTACATAAAATTGGCAGATTTTTGAAAATGGCTATTTAATGAATTCATTTGTCAGGGCCGAACAGAGATGTGAAAGTTTTAATGTTGGTTTATTACGATCAAAACAATTGGGGGAATTATAATTAATATACTAATACAAATGAAAAAAAGGAACGATTCCTTTTTTGAAACATAGAAATAGGGTCAAATGTAACCTCAAATTCGTTACTTCTGACCCAAGTGTTTTTAGAGTGTGAAATATAGACTAATCTTTTAATTTGGCTTCCTATTTTTATGTCTGACATCACTGGCCAAAGCATGCCGCATCATGAGTCAAACCTGGAGGCAGACGCAGACACACATTTCATCTGCTTTCTGCACACTCCACAGACAACAAATAAATAAAAATTAAAAATATATTAAATTACAATGTTGCCTTGGATCTAGTGGATGATCAATGACTAATCGCCTAACGGTGCTTGAAAACCCCTGCCCCTCCCAAGAATGGAACGATAGTACAACAAAGGATCATTAATATTCATAGCTATTTTGAGACTTGATAACATTTGTACATCTGCTTCTAAGGGGGGCTTTAATGTTCCAGATTCATTTTCTGTATGAAATAGGATGACTGCTTGTATGAAAGGGACATTTGGATTCGCTTGTTGTCGGTGCTCGGTGTTTGAAAATGTGGACAAAGTGTCCTCACGGTACCTTGGCAGCACACTGTCTCGAAGGTTGTAATTTGTATTCTAACCAAGCAATTAAAAAAAACTAATAATAAAATAAAAATATCATGCTTATTTTCTCACTGTCAATCTTAACTATGCAATTAGAGGAACAAATGAACTCACAAATCAATCCACTCAGAAAGTCTCTGGATATTCAATTATTCGTTTTGTTTATTGCTTAGGCACAGAATTGATTGACTGATTGAATGATTTGCTTAGCAAATGCATTCGACCAGCCGGCACAAAAAGTGATGAGACCATCCAGCATCAGTGCTTTAATGTCATTTTGAACAGGCAGGACATTCATCCTTTGATCCCAACACTTTAGCCTAGCTCACTGGGGCTTTTCCAAGAAGTCAGAAAAGGGGCCTCAAATTCACCCATTGATGTTGTTTTTCAAGTCAAGAAGTAAAACAATTTTGGGAACAACCTATGCTGTTACTAAAAGGCAGCAATGGCATAAACCTTAAACTGACTGGATTGTTTAACACCGAGGGCTGAATTCACGAAAGGATTGCGTGGCTTTTGCGTGGCGCCGACTGATAAAAATGGAGCAAAAAGCTCGTGACTAATCCACAAAGCACGCGCAGATGATGAATGGAAGGCGTCACTAACTGAGATACCAAGCAGAATGCGTCTCGGTGCGCCGGTGGTATTTGTACGTATAATTAAATGGTAATATGCATATATTTGGCGGAGATATTGCCCACCTCTATGCAAATGAGCCTCATTGATCAACGTAGAATTCACTAACGCCGGCGCTAAAAGCCCCACACAGTTTGAGTGACGCAAATAAATAAAAATTGGCATACTATACCATGAAAGAAGCGTATTTTCCACATTGTAAGGCGCTTCGGAGTATCAGGCACACTTTCATTTCCTATTTTAAAACTTTTCATATATAGGTGCATAGAATAGAATCTACAGCAGTGGCTGTGCTTGCATTATGCATCCACGAGATCACAGGTGTCAAAGTCAATGCCCCGGGGGCCAGATCTGGCCCGCAGGAGCAAATCTTGTGTGTCAACTTTCATGAGCCTTGCTGAAATCTGGACCGAAATGTCAAATTGTCATGGGAAATAAATAACGTTGACATTTTGCATCAGCCCTCCGAGGGAAGCCGTAACTCCGAAGTGGCCCGCAACAAAAAATTTGTTTGACACCCCTGCACTAGATGGAGCTACGCTAAAGGGAATACAAATCAATACAGATTTTTTATCTAGAGCTTTTATAACCACTGCAGACGTAAAGCACTTTACAGAACAAATACTACATCCAAGAAATCAGAATATCGATCCGTATAAAAGGGGCATCGGATTATAAGGTGTTGGATTTTTGTCTTTTGAAAAAATTGAATGCTCTAGGTGCGCCTTACAGTGCAGAAAATACGGTACACAATCCAGGCGCACCAAGAAAACCTATAGTTAAAATACCCATCCCTTGTCACGGATTTATTTCTTCGATGATAAATCTGTAATTTATGAATGGCTGTGTTCTGCCTCAATCCGTTATCTGCGGGTGCTAAATGCAATAATTTGTGCAGTTACTACCTCTAAGTCCCACTTGCCTGCTTGCACCAAGACAGCAAAAATCTTTGGCATCCAGTCCGCTGGAGGCGAGAGGACAATTGCAGCATTCGTGGGGAGTTCCTGAATCCTGGAGCACTGGTTCATAGTATCATGATTTGTTTTGACATTTATCCTGACAAATTCTTTTAATGGAGCACAAAGTTGCCATTGGTACACGTGTGCATCGAAGGCCGGGATTTCCTTTCAACGGATGACTGTCCCATTCACAACAATATGAACGGCATTGCTGTGTTGTTGATTACAGGCTCATTTGAAAGCATAGTGTGCTAATTATTTTGTTTTTCCAAACACCTCTTTGTGAGGAATCTAGAATCTATCAATGCGCACGTGGAAAAGAAAATAAATCATGACTTTTGGATTTGGAACAAGACAAGCAGCTGGTGCAAATAAGATGGGCCTCTTTTCAGTCCTTATTTGCCGAATGTCACAGACGTCAACGCAGTCGTGCAACATTTCGAATAGACATCACAGAGTGAAATGAATGAAGTTTTAAATAACACAGTGGTGACATAACATTTTTCTATCTGAGAGAGAAGATGAGAAACTCATAAAAAGATATTATTAACAATTAACACCGACTGAGCTGAGTCCGCTTTCGGGGATTACATGCAATGTGATAGGTCCTCATATTTGCAGAGGGTCACAAAGGGCAGAGTGTGTTGGGCATGGCCCTGTCCACTTGTGCCGCTTGCTACTTGGCTGAATCCGCCAGCTCACATGATACACGAGCACAACACTGGACTGTTTTCACTAAACAAACTCCTCCAGGAAGCAGATGAACAGGATATGAGGCAAAAAAATGAGCCTCCTCCCAAAATGTTCAGTCACACTAAGTGGAGCCGAGACATATTATGACAGTAGATGTCTACGCCGAATTGTGGCTGATCTGGAGAAAACCACCGCGTGACAAATAATTTGGATTCACAAGCGAGGCGCACGAGTAACCTCAGCCAATGTGTGGGGAAACCTAAGTAGGCTGCAGGCATGGTGCAATGGGTGCCAACTGAGCTGCCAACAACCTGGCCCGGTCCCGGAGAGTAGCTATGTGACCACAGACTGGAATATCCAAGTCAATCCGGACAGTTATTCCGTTGAGCTGGTTTGCTGCCAACCAGCTGCACTGCACAATAATGCGGCTCGGTAATGAAAACAGTGACTGAACTAGCGCAGCACAAGGCACTCGGTATTCTCCAATTAGTTAGCCTAATAGCATAACTGCCTCAGTCATTTTAACCCTTTCATGCACCCTGTAACCTGATAACATACGATGTCCACTGTCATAATCGCTGTCCCTGAAAGGGTTAAACTTTTACAGTCTCAATAAAATAAAATACAAATTGCATGCTACAAAAACATTTTTTTCCCTTTCTCTCTGTGTAGGGTCAATGAAGTGAACACAGTGTCACGCGTAGGGCTTGGTCACGATTCAGATTTCAAAATCGATTCGATTCAATTCACAAGGGGACGATTCAGTTCGAGAGTCACCATTCATTTTGACTGATTTTCAATTCATTGAAGGATTTCACGCAGTATCAATTTTACTTTGGAATAGATTGTCCGAAGAAGCGATGCTGCAAATAGAAGAAACGTCTTGCTCTAACTTGGTGTATTCATAAACATATGAATATTGACATGAAGAATTTAACCCGATGCAGTTACATTAATCATTGATGTTTCATTGAACATGACCCAATCAAAACAAATAACGAAACCAATTCCAACTACAGGGCAGGCCGTGGAAATAAAGTAAAATAAACTCTTGACATTCACATTTCTGTGACTGTCTCACAACGTTTCAGATTGAAAATGTCTTATTGTGATGAATAAATCCCGACATATAAACTTCAACGACAATGGTCAAAACAATCAAGGTTCAAAATGAAGCTAAACCCCCCCAGTCCTGGAGACTGCAGAAGACCCCCTGGCCACTGTCCTCTGTATTTTGGAGTTTCAATGGTCCCTGCATCCATTTTGTGTTCCGCTCCAAGATATAATGGTGTTTACTAAACTCATTCACACAGTTTTTTGTCCTGCCCAGCGGAGGTAATAACTGCGAACGGACACAATTGGCAGTCGGCGGTGAAAAACAGATGCCAAAACCCCAGAGGCCGGAGGAAAACGCTTGCTCCGACTCACTGAATGTGGACGGGCTGCCCTTGTTTGAAGCCACCTCCGCACATGGACCGTGCCGACAACAATGGCTACAGTCTTGGCAAACAATGGCGATGAACTGGATTGTGCAAACGTGATTGATAAGTGGGTCATGTCTTGTTGTCACCACTTGAGGCATAAACTCCCAACAATCCAGCTCAACTGAACGGATCTGCTTCAACTAAAAAGTGATTGTCGTAATACCAAAATAATAAGCTCCACCTTGAGGTGAAATGTAACATTATGGGTGGAGGCGTACCTTGGAGTGGGAGCCATTTATTTGGACGGATTACTGCTGTATTGCTATCAACAACATCTTGTGACACTGTAGTTTAAAAACGATATCCAAGGGTCTATCATGATGAGAAACAGTAAGAACAGAGGCCGATTGAGTGGACACACACAACACCGCGGAGCTCTCACACCAGAACCCTGTGCACCCTTCCCCCTTCTGGTGTGAGATCTCCATCTGACGGGACGCACATCGCTGAAAAAGACGGCGTCTTCACATGAAGTTCTACGCCTGGGAAATTGTTGACGACACGTGTGGTACTGGTTTGGGGTTTGTTGTTGACGTTTTGGTTTAGAAGGACTATAAATCGCACCCCCGGTCAAACAATGAAAAAAAAACCCAGCGCCTTATAATCCGGGAAAAACGGTAGTTTGCGCGATGGCACAACTCCTTGTGCATCTATTCACCTTTTTTTTTTTTTGCGCATTACCATGAGAATGCCAACTTGGCGGCACTCTCATGGAAATGGGAGTCCAGAACATTCAGAGGACTCTCAAAATAAGATTTCTCTCATTATTATTCTGTTGATTTTCACCAAAGTCAATTAAGGAAATTATCCGGCTGTTCAGTGGACCATGTGGTCTTCTGGAGCCATCTGTTAGTTTGGACAAGTGGCGTTGAGCGACAAAAGGGCAGATGCACATTTCGAGTCAATCTAACAGACCACAGGAGGCTATTATATGGCCCCGGTAATGCTGACAAAGTGTCAAAAGCCTGTGCCAAGCCAAGCAGATGGGGGGGGGGCGGGGTTGAATCATCTGCAGCTCACAGGCAACTGTTGAGCAACTTTGCCAAAATAACAGAATCCAGCCTCCGCAAGACATTCACTAAAGGTGATGCGCAAACCAGGGCAAGGTTGACATATTGCGGCACATGAGAAAAGCCGCTCGCTGCCAGGAGGGGGTTGCAGCACTTGACCCCAATCGGGCCGGCTCTCTCCCCAATACTCCTGAAAGGGTGCCAGCTACAATACATAAATGGCCGTCAGCAATCTCACATGCAGAAAGCGAACACTGTGAGGCAGGGTGGCACAATGCATCCATGATCCAAAAATAGAAAAGCTGAGGAGGAGTTGAGCCATTAGCGGATTCAGACAGGAAAACCAATTGAGGGACATTCATGGTTGGGAAAACATGAACATAGAAGCAAGCGCACTCTTTATAGGTTTTATATTCACATGCATAATTTGATAACTGAAATAGGGCCAACGAATCACAGCCACTGTGGGGCAGTACATTCATGCGTTGGGAAAAATCCTAAAGTGTGTCACGGGAAACTATGCAATTTCACTTCGTTCGTCAAAAAATCAAATTAAGAACAACACATCACTTTTATCTATCTACCCATGCCAGCTACGTATAGTGACAGGCAGAAAATGCTCTGCAGGTACAATTAACCTCTACTGTACGTATGCATGTATGCATACTGTACCATACAGTATGCATTATACTCGATACCTTTTCTGATGCTGATTTTCAATGCTGGTGAGCTAGTTTTCTCATATAAAATGTGCGCCTTAGTCCAGTAAAGGCTGGGAAACACTGTTATGTCGTGATGCAGACGAATGAGTGAATCTAATTGTTGATGTTATTTATGTTATTTTGGGCTGACAGCTACTCTGACGTTGTCACTCGTTTCCCTCGTCCATCTAAATGAAATACAAATCAAACTCACGAAACGGATCTGTAAAATGTGTTTTTCTTTAAAAGAGAAAGCCATAATTGCAGTGATGGGTTCAAGTTGCGGGACGTTCAAACTGAAGCAGCGCTGCCGCCTAGCAAGCAAGCGAACATTTTGGTCACGATTTTTCAACGTTTTTTCCCCCACCCTGGAACACAAGCACGGGCAAAGTGCAGAATAACCGACTCGCGTTTATGTATGGCTTAACGTCTTTTTATTTATGTATTGAGTCGCCGCTTACCGCTGAGTAAAGTAGCCGATGCTAACCAGCCAAGCTAACTGGCTAGCATGCCTGAGACAAAAGCCTGGAATGAACAAGTTCCCTTTGGGTGCGAACGCCAACCAGGTGCCGCTACTCTGCTAGAGAGCTGAGAAGCCAGCGTTCTTGAAAATAGCCCGAAGCCGACCACTGTCATTTCAAGGAATGAACAAAGGTGATCTTACCCCTCCTGGTCCAGCTTTTCTTTCTTGTGCGCTGTGTTTGAATGGAGCGTGTGGCGTCCTGTTCCGGGGTCACATCCCTCCTGTCGGCGCACAGCGGCGAAAACGCAGCGGTCCTGCTTCTTTGGGTAGCGCCACGTTTAGCCACACGGGGCGCTGTGCAGCGATAGCCCGCCCGGCCCACGCCGGGCGGCCCCCAGGCGAGGTCCGACGCTCAACCATAAATATCCCAAGAACACACAGCCCAAAATACATAAATGACTCACTGACATGCGGCAGATTTTCCCAAGAGGAAGTGAATTATGATTATTTAACGTCAAGAGGCATGAAAATCTTTGTTACTTTATTATTTTTTTTTTTCAAAAATCTCCGCCTATATTTCGAGGATATTTCGGCTGCAGGGCACACCCAAGGACCACATTGTTGTGATTGTTAATAGTACATGAAGGTAATTGAAGTACATTTGCTTTGACCAGACCTTCATACTTATCAGTACTCAAGAAAAAGCTCTCAATTAAAAAAAAAAAAAAAAAAGTTTGGTGCCCCTTGGCAGAGCCAACAGCTCATTGACACACAACAATATGGATGGATATTTTTCCTTTTTTTTTAAACCCCCAGACAGCACAGTGGTAAAAGTGGTTAGCATGTCTGCCTCACAATTCTTAGAAATGAATTTCAGCTCTGCGGGAAGTGTGCATGTTCTCCCAGTGCTTGTCTGACTTTCTTTAGGGGTTCCTTCCAAATTCCAAAACATCATTCTTTGATCAATTAAAGCTGCTAGATTGTCCATACGTGTGGATTTGTGTGTGAATGCTTGTTTGTCTGTATGTGCCCTGTCACTGACCGCGGTGACTAGTCTTGCCTTTTACCCATACCCATTTTAGGATAGGCCACCCACAATTATAATGAGGATAAGCACAACAGCAATAAAACCACAATGAGCCTCCTTCACGACTGTTTGGGTTTACAGTTTTGAATGGTTGGCACTCAATCACATGACACATTGAAACAGCAACTCAAGATTACATTTACACCATCACTGAGGATTGGGGATTGAACCCATGCTGCCTGCGCTGAAGTCAGGGCAGTGTACCATGACGCCATCGGTGACTACAGGAGTATGTTCATCAGAATAATCTAATCATCTTTATTGGACAAGTATGTAAAACAGGAAATTTGTCTCCAGTAGTATGAGCTACGCTAGTATTGCAATAACAAGCAACTATGACAAACAAAGACATGACACATGAGTAAATGTAGTATATCAGTAATTAGGCTGAAATATATAGTATAGTAAATACATAGTATAAAATTGGTGTGTGCTGCAAATTACAATATAATATACATGTCATAGAAATTGCCTATGCGTTTAAACTACAGATTCAAATACAAAATATACATTTTCATACAACATTCCCAAAATAAAGCCATCCATTTTCTATAGTTCTTATCCTCATTAGGGTTGCAGGTGTGCGAGAGCCTAACTGAGTTTGAGAGGCGGGGTGCACCCTGCACTGAGCGCCACTCAATCGCAGCGGACACCTAAACAAACAATCATTTACAATCACACCAGTCAACAATTTAGAGTCTTCAATTAACCAAAGTGGAATGTCAGGGGAAGTCGAAATAGCTGGGGAGAAAAAAAAAAACATGCAAGCACCTGCAAATAGGATGGCCTGGGCTGAAACAGGGTACAGAGCACATGAAGCAAGATAGAAATACAATCAAATGGAACAATGAAGTGAAAAAAAACCAAAACAACAAAAAAAGGGAAATTGTGCGGAGGGTTACATATAGTAGTCAAATAGTAAAATGTTTGACAGCACGGACACGATCTCTGGGATGTCATCTGACATGTCTGTCATAAAAATAGTCAAAATGATACTTCATTATCGGAAAAAAAGAAATGAAATCAGGCACCGAATACTGCATCCCATTAAAAATCAAAGCTTTCATCCTTCCCTATTTGATGAAGTGACATGTGAAAGTATGTTTTTTGCTGTCATGTCTCATCAGTCACAACCAACAAGCTAATCCCTGTCTTTAGCACCTAAGAATAAAAAAATACATTCAGTAATCATATTAATGAACTTTTTTTTCAAATGAAACTGCAACAGAATCGGATTCACAGAAACTAAAAGACGTCAGTGTCGGACGAATCAATTACACCGTTAACAAATTTTCCCAACTACTGGCACTGCAAAGGCAACATACTGCATAGGAACTTATATCCTGTAGCTGTAAAACACCTTGAAAAATATGTTTGTACAGGTGTTTAACATGACACAAAATAAAAATACATCAAATCTGATCACATCATTACTCTCGTCCCAAAAAGACGGTGTACATTGTATAGTGCAACGTTGTGGTTAACTTATATTTCAGACGACCACTCATCTATGGCTCCACCATCATTCCATTGTCTTCGGTTGCCATAATTGCTTCTTACGAATGGGGCAACCACTTGTAAACAGTCATCGAATGCCATTTGTAAAATGATACGTCCGATTGTGTTCTCTTGCCTTTTTCGGTCCGCGACGTTGTCATTTTAGTTCTGCTCGGTATCTCCTTTATGGTCTGTTATCTTTGGCCAGAGAGTGCATCATCCAGTTGACCTTGGTCTTCCAGCTTTCTCGCAGAGCCTCATTGAACTTCACTTTGAAACTCTTCAGTGCCTCTTCCTCTGTTTTGCCCAAAGCTAAAGAGTCCTGTTGGGAAAAACAACAAAACATGTCATCATGATAAGATTTCCTTCCACCCACTCGCTGTGATTGGTATTATTTGTGCATGCCTTTAGGTACTGAATATCCTTGAAGGAAGAGAGTTCGGGCAGTCCAGCTGCCTTCATCATCGCAAAGAGGTTGACAAACAGCGTCCCGTTCCGACACAGGATCTTATAAGCCCGCTCGCAGTATTCCCTGAACCTGAAAACAGGGATGCAATGTTCTGTCACAAATCCCAAGAAATCCTTGTGAATATACAGACTTCCTAAAAAAATGGTGTACCTCTCAAACTTCTCACTGTTGTTTGTCCGTCCTTGTTGGATCACATGGACAAAGTCGTATGTCAAAATAAAAGGCACACGTTCCCTGTTGATGCCCAGTTTGCGCTTGAAGTTGCCCAGGAAATGTCCAAAGTCGATGTGAAATAGCTAAAAAAACAGCAGAGCAGTCACATGCTGTGGTGACACTCGAGAGTTTAAACAATCACATTCTATTAAGTAATCCAAGAGGAATCAATGCAATCCAAGTTTTCTGTGAGAAGGATTACTATTAATATGATCAACCAATAATATAATATCCAGTAAATTGCGGAACTGTCGTGGTGCTCACGGATACAAGTTAGCCCCCAGTAACTAGCCTACGGATCTGCTCTAAAATAGCTCGTCAGTGATGGGACATTGTGATTTTCTAGGAATGCTCTAGAACAGTGGTTGTTAACCTTGTTAGAGGTACCAAACCCAACCAGTTCATATGCACATTCACCGAACCCTTCATTAGTGAAAAATAAAAATACAATTTTTTTTTTTTCAAAATCAAGACATAAAAAAAAACGCATTTATTAAAAACCGAAAAAAAAACCCTAAACAAAATTTCCAGACATAAGTATACATTTTTTTAATTGTGCACAAAATGAACCAGCCAGTGAAGGCCAAGCGGGCGTGTCAGAACTAACTGACATGTCGAGTCGGGTGTGCCTTAACCTCCATGGCAGAGGCTCCGTCGAACCCCTGAGACCGATTCACCGAACCCCTGGGGTTCAATCGAACCCAGGTTAAGAACCACTGCTCTCGAAGTAATCATTTGAAAATGTAAACAACCTGCAAAGATGTATAGAAATTGTGTTTTATTTACAGTGAGAAATCATTAAAATTGTCCTAACGTAAATAATATAATTATTAGTGATATCCATCCTTCATCCATCAATTGTATAAAATAACGCAGTAACTAAGAAGGAGCTCTCACTTTCCAAAAGGTTGGTGAGCCCTGTTCTCGTGCATCCTCCTCTAGTTCAAGATTAGAAATGACGCCCTCGCCCTCTTGTGGCAGATTTCATGCCTTGCATTCGTCGAGATGGAAAATGCAAGATGTACATCTCACCTGTCCATTTTCCCGGATCATAATATTATCATTGTGACGGTCTCCAATGCCCAAGATGTACGTAGCGACACATGAGCCAGCACAAGACAGCGTAAACTCCTCGATTGCTTGTTCCAGTTTGTCTCTGATGAAGAAAAGCAGTAAGAACGAGTCGGTTCCTTATTTTCTAGGGGGCCCTTAAAATGTTTATGTTCATTTAATTAAAATTATATATTTTTTTTGGGAGCAAATAACTATTCTCAAATCAAATGTTTCATCATTATAAATGATGCAGTGTCGATAAACTGGGATTTGATTCCCCTGAATCCTCAGTCAGTCCCCCCAGAAATTTCGGAAATTCCTCAGCTAAACGTCCTGTTGGGGAAGGGGGGGGGACGTTTTCCGCATACTCACTCTGGATTCTTGGATTTGAGCCAGTTGAGCAGGGCATCTTTGTTAAAGGCAGCAGTTGCCGCACTGTTGCTGTTGTTTCGTTGAATATTGGCAATGGTGTCTGAGTTCTTCACCACCTCAATAAAGCCCATCTTGTTCCCAGTGGATAAGCAGCCATATGGGATCATCCTGTTCTCAAAAGACAGGATCAGATAAGTCCAGTGTTTCCCAGGGGATGCTGTGCAGGACTATAAATAATCCCTCTTGGTCCCTACCTGAGATCCAGTCCTTCTTTCTTCCACAAATTCTCCATGAGCTGGATCATTTGCAGGGTCAACATGTCTTGCCGAAGATCTACACAATGAAGGAGTGGCATCATTTCATGGGTCGTTCTTCTCATTCATCATATAATCCATTGTGTGTGTGTGCGTGTGTGTAACTCACCATCACCATTCTTGAAGATGATGCCCATCATGTCCCCTTGAGTCCAGGGATTCTTGTACATCAACCAGAGTGGTTTCATCTTAGAATCCATAAATCTGCACTTGTCTACACTACAACAGAAAACACTTGCGATGAGCACACAACTTTTGAAATCCTGGGGCAGAGATCAAATCGTTCAAGTATACAGTGAATGGTGGAGGCATCCATAACAAAGCGGAATCTACTCTATCAGTAACAATCTCAGTTGATGCTGGGCGAAAGGCACACTGCCCCCTAGATTCGTTGCCTGTCAATCACTTGGCTTCAGCCACGTGGCATCATTTATTGTGTTTGTGTTCTGACGATTGACTCCTCCAAGATACGTACGATATATATATATTTTTTTGCATACTGTAGATGGCTGCATTTCTTATTGACTGCTCTTCATGGGATAATTATATTTATTAGTCAACACGGCCTGTGAGGTTTGTGCATGCTGTTTTTTTTTTGGTCAGTAGGCTTGTTGCACCCACCGGATACAACAGGAGGTGCACCCCCAGAGTGTCAAACCTGAATCACATATTCCGCCTTTACACAGATGGTAAGGCTCTGTTGTGTACCTATCATTAAGAAAGAGTACTGCAACCTACAACAACACGAACTCAAACATTATTAGATGACCGTATTTTCCGCACTATAAGGCGCACCTACAAGCATTCAATTTTCCCAAAAGCCGACAGGGCGCCCTATGATCCGATGCACCTTATATATGGTGTTAACAGTGTCTTTATATTTCCGATTGAGTTGTTTCCCTGTTATTGTTCCTATTCCATCGAGTGGTGATTATTATCAGGAACCAATTGTAACCTAAAAGGATTCTCCCCGACACTAATTGACATGTGCATTCGCCAACACACACTCAGACAACTAATTTGTGAGCTCAGCGCAGCCATAATGAACACGAAGATAATACCAAAAGCATAGTTAACTACTGACTATACGAAGGAAGGAGACAAGCAAGACATCCAAGGATATTTAGCCCCTTATGGATGTGAGCCCACGAAATTTGTGTGCCTTTTTATGTGAATCAATTGTCTTCTTAACCTTTGTCTTTCATTTATTGTTTTGTAATGCCATTTGTATTTATATGTCCGTGTTTGTGACCATTTTTCATGGGTTTGTTACAGCTGCAGCGGTTGTGAGGGTTCTACATAAATAAAGGTGTATTGTATTGTATTCCTTTAGCGTAGCTCCATCTAGTGGATGCATAGCGCAACCGCAGTCACTACTACCTTATAATGCGGTGCACGCTATATAAGAAAACTGCTTTAAAATAGGCCAATTTATAGTGCAGAAAATACAGTATACTGTGTGTGTGACTCTAACCAGATTTCAGCGAGGATGACGCTGGGGTTGAGTGGTGACAGCAGGTTGGAGAAAGCATCCGACTCCTGTCTGATAAACAGCTTCAGGTCCTCAGCATTCACTTTCTGGGAACCCGATTTGATGAAGTCACTCAGGACCTTCATTTTGCCTTGAGCCTCGTTCTGAACATGGGAGAGGGGCAAAATACGGATATCTGAACCTTTACCCGGTGGGTTATCTGTTTCTTTGTGCATCTTTTCAAGGTGTGTATGTTGGCACCGGTGTTGGGTTTCTTTATAAATGGAATGCGTTACCTAAAACTACGGTAGTTACTGTTTTAAACTGTATAAAGGTCATGAGTAATATTAAGTATTAAATATAAGCGGAGTACCTGTTTGGTTAAGAGTTTGATGTGGTGAATGTTACCCCTGCAATAGGCCTCAAGAATCAGGCCAAACCTTAAGCTGACAGATGGAACGTGGATCTCTGACCTGAATTCAAGACACAATGTTCAGTTATCAAGACCAGACGCACGTTTCCGTTTGCTGCTGGGCCGCGCCTCACCGGAGGTGCCAAAAGAGAAAGTGCCCTATCCTCCTGTTGAATAAAGCCCTCTCCAGCAGGAACGTCGTGAGGTCACAGTCGAGGTAGGACTCGTATTTCAGGACCTGGACCAGCTGGATTAAATACTGCAGTAGCTCGTCATCGCTGCGGGCAGAGAATGTGTGTGTTGCAAACGACTGCGTTCTTCATACATGAAAGATGAGTAATAATATGAACACAAATTTGACTACCTGAGCTTCCTTAGGCATCTTATGGTGAAAGAACGGACCGCGGGGTCTGGAAAACTGTAATCTAAGAGCTCCAAGGCGGGGATGGCAGGAAGCTCTGGCCAGTTTCTCAGAAGACTCACCATCTAAAAAAAAAAAAAAAAAAGACGAACTGATATGTATCTCCATGTATTTTCGATTCAAATCGTTTTTTTTTTTTTTTGCCACACAAGTGGAACGCAGTGAAATATGATCAAAATTCTAAACATATTGGTAAATTTAATCTCATTCAAAAAATGAGTTTGAACTTCAAAACATTGAAACTAGATGCAACACGCTTCACGTGTTAGTTTTCTCAAATCTCATCTGATCTGCTTGTAGTTTATCGTGCTACTTTATTGACAAAATGAAGTGATCCCAAACCAATCTCTGTTACCTGTATGACATCCTCTCTCTTATTCCACTTGGTGATGAGGAGCAGCTTGGAAAGATTTTCGGGATAATGATCTCGGACTTCCGTGCGGAGCTTCCACAACAGCTCCTTCTCGTCCTCGAAGCATTCGGTGTAGTTTTTGTTGTCCATTATTTCTTTCAGCTTTATGTTCTGCAGAGAGCGAGATCATGCGATGAAGCGGAAAAAATAAATGAGAAGCGAAATTACTTTCACGTATCGCAGATGTCAGCTGTAAAACGTGAATTATGGTGATGTTAACCTCTTCTTTTGTCGTGACAGCTGTATCCCCATTTGTCTCCATGGCACTTATCTGGAAGGGAGATCAGTTAAATTGACCGGATGCAAAACACTTGAAGTGGAATGCCCAGCGTTTTTGATCATGCGCACCTTGTCTAGCGGAGGATAGTAAAGAGGATAGGGCCTGATGTTCGGGAAGCGAATGAGGAGCCCAGCTGCACTGTCGACATTGGGATTCTTCTCAACTGTTCCCATCGGGTTCAACAGGTCACTTTTGTCATCTGTGAGAAAAATGTCACGTGGGATGTCTTTGATTGCTTTTTGAATGATTGCATTTTCTAGCTACTGCAATGGACAGCGCGTTATTTGACGCATACGTCAATAAGACGTAAAAAAAATTGACATTTACAATTAACAGAGTTCCTTAGTGGCTAGCCTGCTTCACCGTTCTAAGATTCTGGGTTGAATTTCAGTTTTGGCAATTCCTTGCGCAATTTGCATGTTTTCACCAATCCTTACGTATGCTTTCTGCCACATTCTCAAAACATGCATGTTAGTTTCATTGAAGACTAAATCGACCGCAGGAGGTTTTCTACTTGGAAAAGTTGATCTTGAATTAGAAAAGGTTGGGCACCCCTGCTCTAAATTGTCCATAGATGTGAGTGTGAAAAGTATTTGTCTGTCTGTGTCGCCAAGTAGTTACCAAAAGATAGATGTTGACATCCAGTTACTGAAACTTTACGTACCGTACTGCTCATACGCTGCCTGTAGACACATAAAACACATGCTAATCCGGGCAATATCACAACCTATAAAATACCACCAGGTGCCGGTCTTGCTTTGCAAACAACTTCCTGTCCTGCCAAATGTTTTTCAGGCATCTTGCAAGTATTTTACTCCATACTAGTTTTCTGTAAATGGTTACCTTCTCTGTTTCACTTTCACTTGTTTGACAGTTATAATATTACTTAGATCACAGGTGTCAAACTCAAGGCTCGGGGGCCTGATCTGGCCCGCCACATCATTTTATATGGCCCGCGAAAGCAAATCAACAATGTCAACTTTCATGATGCTTGCTAAAATCTCAAATTCTCATTTGTAATAAATACGAGTGATACTGTAAGCATTTTCTTGTTACCAAACCTCTCATTACAATAACTTAAACAATAGGTGAATAAACCGTTATTGTTGACTTCTTCATATGGTTTCAGTCATTACGGCCCTCCAAGGGAAACTAACTAAAATCTGGCCCGCGAAAAAAATTTGTTTGACACCCCTGACTTAGATCATTGGCTGTTTAGTTAAACACAATTTTATGGCAGCAGACTGTGCATGAAGATAAATATATCGCCCTTATTTCTATCCATCCATCATCCATCCTATTACCTTAGTGCTTGTCCTCATTCATTTTGTGGGGAGGTGAAGCCTATCACAGCTGACTGACAGACAAAAGGCGGTGTACGCCCTGGACTAGTTGGCAGCTCATCGTAGGGCACGTAGAGATAAACAACCTTTCACACTCACATTCACACATATGGACAATTCAAGAGTCCTCGTTGAATCTAACATGCATGTTTTTGTAATGCGGGATGAGTACCTGCAGAAAACTATTTGTAACTTTGTTGTCACAAGAGTGCACTACATTGCTCAAAGTACCAGGAACTGATGGCCACGTGGACAAAAGAACCTCGTCAGTCTTCAGCTGGTCCTTATAGTCAAACACCATGGTGTTCCCCCAGGCTATTGGACAATCCTAGAAAAACACACATAACACGATTTATACTGTATTTCATCTAAAAGTCACTGTTGTGCAGTCTACGCTATGTCCGAAATTAGCTTTACTTCCGTTGGTCTTTCTGGCACACGTCTGTGGGACTTCTCTTCCAAGCAACAGAAGAGAGAAGTGTTGCGGAAAGCAGAAGTGAGGCTACCTGAGTCCAATACTGTACCATGTTTGTGAGGCCCACACTCAACGCGGCGATCACAATTGCTGCTGTGAGAAATTGTCATACCGTACTGAGCATGTTGCGGTCTTACGCTGTCAATGAAGGCGGAAGTCTCATCGTACTGTATAATTCTGAGACTGACGTGAAAAAGTATACATTGATCGTCAATTATAAATCCTGAATTGTAAAGTATAAATAAGTTGTGTTCCAGACGCATGTGCAAATTTTCAAGTGACGATAAATCGAATGCGTTACTTTCCATAACCTTGTAAAATCCAGAAAACCGTTTAAAAATAATAATAATAATAATAATAATTACCATAAGTTAAAAGAGATGGTCTTTATTTATTAAAAAAAAAACTTTATTCTTGAATGTCACCCTTAAAAATAGACTTCCAATGAAGTGTCAAATCCGTGTGCCATTGTTATATTAAGCAGTATCGTCGGTATCTGCTGAATGTAATAATTAAAGTAATTTTTAATCTAACTTTATTATGTTTAACCGTTCCAGGGACAGCGGTTACTGCAGTGGACAGCTTATCAAGTTACAGGTTATCACTACTTGTGCATGAAAGGGTTAAAAGCAAGTCATCAGTAAAGTAACCAAGTTACTTTTTCACGGTAACTGGCAACTCTGGGAACAGATATGACTGATACATGTTTGGACATTTGCCATCTGTTGAATACGTGTACAAAATGATTCATATCGCTGACATTTTTGAGAAACACCTTGTTTCACACTTAACTTTTATGACTGTGTGACTCAGGTCCATAAAGCAACAGCCTTAAACACCTCACAAGGATAGGAAGCAATTATATTGACTGAACAGTTTGGCTGGACGATGGGTGTCTCGGTTTGACGATTCTTTACAGACGATTTACCAGAAATGGGAGGTCAATTCAATCGTAAAGAGGACAGTGGGTGGGGGTGAAACTAAAGCGTGTGAAGATGAGTTGAGTATTCCTTGAAAACATTTGCAGACTTCCTTAGAGTGCTGCACAGATAAAAGAGCTGAAGCAGATGGAGTGTGAACCACAGCCTGGCCACTGAACACACTTGCAAAACTTGACACATACTGTACACGCACGTGCACACACATGCATGCATGCATGCACGCACACACACACACACACACACACACACACACACACACACACACACACACACACACACACACACACCCCCGCACCCCCCCACCACAACGTAGGATAAACACAGACTATGCACTTTACACACGCTCATCTTGACACCCAAATGCACTCTCACTCTCATCACAACTCACCACTTTCTTATTCTTCTTTTTGGTGCCTCTGGGCTTTTTGGCCTTGTCGAAGACGGCGTAGAGGGCGAAGCACAGGCGGCTCATGCGAGGCAGGTCCGCCACGTTGATTTCAAACTCCATCTTCTGGTCCCAGAGCGGCTCAGAGCATACGGCCACCTCGGAGCTTGTCACCACTTTACAGAGTAGCTCGCTGCCATGGAAGAGGCCAGCCTGCACCACGAGCTGGTGGGGGCATAGAAACACGAATGGGGGACAGACACGAGTAATGCAAAAATAACACTTTACTGACAAATCATTACTAAGATGTTGGTCATATTAAACCATTTCCATTCTTGAGTGAAATGACCAGACATTGTCTCATATCCCCAGTCAAGTCCACTTATTGGACAGATTAAAAAAAAAAAAAAACATTCGCAGTGCTATATAGTATGTGTGTGTGTGTGTGTGTGTGTGTGTGTGTGTGTGTGTGTGTATATAATTTATTTATATAATATATACAATAAATAGAATTTATTTATATAATATAGCACCTGATTTTAATCTGTGCTGATACAAAAACTAATAGGTAGTAGGTGTTTGATTTTGTTTAAAAAAAAAAAAGGAAATACAATGATAGTCTATTTATGCATTTTTTAAAATTGTTATCTTGTTACAGCTCATCAAAGTTACTGCACTAGAATTCCACAAATGTTTTTTGTTAAAGAAAAGCACTGTAACCTGTTACAATTCAGAGTCTGTAGTATTGTAATACTGTAAAGTATATGGAAATACAGATAACATTTTGGAAGCAACTTGTCCACAAAGGTCAGGGGACGAGGGCACGACATGCAGCGTGGAGGCAAGCTATTGTGACAGCGGAAGATTTACAAGCTCGACGAGATGATTAAGCGTTTCCTGTGTCACTCAGGCTATGAGTCAAAGGGTGTGCACTTTGCATTTCCCCTCAATACACGGCCACCGGAGCCAAAATGTAATATCGTGCGACCATTCATGTCCTGCCCTTTGCCAAATCAAGATAGCCCATGTGTGTATTGACTAAACGTATGAGCGTCTATTCTCCCCCAGGGGCGTGTTTTCAAGCATCTGCCCTGCCAACAATTGACATGACTGATGATGATGCGACGGGACACATTTACCGTGAGTCATAAGGCAGCAGCTGGAAGTGCACTTACACAAGGCAAAGTAGCCTAAACGGTAACAGAGTTAGTGTACAATATGATGACACACAGTCACCCATTAACAGGATTCCCTTGTGCATATTGTGGCTGGAAATACGAAAAAGTAGTTACGCAGTGTTGCCGAATGAGGATAGGTGCCCTTTTTCTTCAAACAAGACACTCTCCCTAAATGTGTCAACAATAGAAATGAAAGGGAGGGAGGGAGGGTTTTTCTCAGAATCTGCAACCCAGAATGAGGCATCTACAAAAACAGATATAGGCCCTCCCCACTTCCTGTTTTGAAACTTTAACCAACCGCTATGATGAATTATGGGAAGCGTGTGGTCTGAACCAATCTACCCCGCCTGCCCCCTGCGGCCCCTACTCATGTCATTGAGATGACAAACTGTCATTTAGTACAAGCGAAATGGAGATATTGAGAGGACAGCGTGGTAGAAAAAAAACCTACTTGGACGCACGCCTACCTTCATTCTTTCATCCGCATTGACTCGGCTGCCTTGCACAAGGTGGATGTAGAAAGTTTCATGGATGGACCACAAAGAGGATGTATTCTGCTGCGTGAGCGAGTCAGAGGAGAAAGGACATTTATTCCCTCTCACGTCTCCATTGTGTGCAATTATATTGCATAGAAAGCATGCATGCCATGTTGCCACATTTCCCTATTGAGCAGTATTTCAAAAGATGGAAGCAAGTAAAACGTATGCTGAGTCGAAACTAGAAGCAACAGAAGAACTCCATATTGCACTTTCGTTTGACTTTGCAGTGCATATTTTTGGCGTCTTTGCATTTGTGAGTCAACTGAGGTGAAATTAATTTGATGGGATAAGCTGCATATCAGGATTCTTGGGAATTGCTGCTTGAGTCATTTCCTCCCTGCGTGTCTTTCTAGCTTGTTGTACACGGCAGCCATGTTTGCCGTTCCAAAAGCCAAATGGGTGTGACTGGCAGATACAAATCTATTTCACTGGCTGATGAGGCAGTAATGATTGAGGCTGATGAACTAGCTGCGCTTACATTTTATAATGTACACTTTGATAATCAAACGCAAACGTGTGATTTTTATTTAGGTTTTTTTTTTTTGTCATATAAAAAAGACACGTCTTTCACATCATACGTTTCAGCAGGGGCGGGCAGACTGTTGTGCTTAAGGGGAACATTTCATTTTTAAAGCAGATGAGCCATTTGTAGAGAAGGCAAAAATGTTTATTTTAACACTAAAAGAAAAATTAATCGTAATGTTTTGAATCATAACCAATTGTGGTTGACTTTTTAGCACGTCCGCCTCACAGTGCAGAGGTGCAGGGTTTGATTCCGGCTCCGGCCTTCTTGTATGGAGTTTGCATGTTCACCCCGTGCGTGCGTGGGTTTTCACCAGGTAGTCTGGTTTCCTCCCACATTCCAAAAACATGCGTGGTAGGTCAATGGAGGACTCAAAATTGTCCCTAGGTGTGAGTGTGAGCGCAGATGGTTGTCTGTCTCTGTGTGCCCTGCAATTGGCTGGCAACCGGTTCAGGGTGTACCCCGCCTACTGCCTGAAGACAATTGGGATAGGCTCCAGCACGCCCCGCAACCCTCGTGAGGGTCTGTATATGTAAAATAGCATATTTTGATAATACTTTGTTTATTTAAAATACACCACTTAACCAAATGTAACATTTATTATTTTAAGAGAACAATAATTATTTATCTTCATTCTTCTCTTCTTCTTCTTCTTATTATTATTTATAATTAATCAACCAACTGTTCAATCACATTAATAAATGTTAATTCACTCTATCTGTAATGTTTGACTTTGCAATAAATCAATTGACCAGTTACTAAATGAGATAAAGTGAAATGAATGCAACAAATACGACAATGCTCTTGCTACTGTAAATGCAAGGACAGTTTGTCCACTCCCTGCTTTCCGGTGTCTGCATCTCATTTCAAAGCAAGACATCAAATGTCAATCATTGACATTGTGACGCTCAGCACGTTTCAAGTGTGCCAAAGTCCGCGATGTCCCGGTGGAACAACTGTGACGACGACCGGAAGAGTTTGAGAAGTGTTTGTGAAAGACACCAAATGCCCGCTGACCTCTTACCTTCTTGACAGGCAGAGGCGGAGGTCTGGACAAGGAGCGACTCTTGCACACCTGACTACACATCCGCCCGTGCTCCTCTTGATACTTGCTAATGGTGGAGTGGTGCACCATGGTGAGATGAGGATTTTGGCCAGTTCTCAGACAAGAGAAAATGTACTGGGAGAAAAGAAAAGACATGAACAGCAGTGACTTTGCATTTGTATTTCTTGTGAAGACACACATAGTTTTTTGTTCTTTAAAAAGAAGTTCTCTTCCCCTGCCAACCGGTTCGGCTGTTAAAACCTTAGACCCCCCCCCCCCCAAAAAAAAAATCCCTTTTGAATTGCGTGCCATAGGCGAGGCAAAGCTAGGAGGGTCAAAGTCGTCAGCACGTTTCATGCGTGCGGATGTCAAGAAAACCAACATTAAAAAAAAAAAAAAAAAGTGACACCGTATTTTATAGCGTACGTTGATGCTTGACATTGACGAAAACGTAAACCTCATGAAATATTATACTGTCTGTCTTGTCCAATGTTACATGACCAGTAACATTGGACAAGACAGACAGGAGACAGAAGAAGACATGTTTTATTTTCAAAGTTCACCCTCCGTGCTTCGTGGAGCGCAGGTTAACTCCTGCTTGGGAGGCTGTTTGTTTGCCGTCTCGGTTAATGCAGTCCAAATCTTATTAGGGCTTGAATGGATGCAGTTGCTTCCTGCAGTGCTGTTCGCTGGACTGATATGCGTTAGGCCTGCAGGTAGCATCAATGGACTGCGCTGCCAACAAAACCTTGAATGGTTCAACAATATTTACAGTTTGACATTAATATTTGACATCAGTGGAAGAAGATGGGTTGAAATTAGGTTTTGGTTTCATTTGTGTCAATATTGACATTGACATAAATCTTGACAATATCGACAGAAATCTTACTTCACAGTTTAGCCCGATGCATATTCAAATTAGCTTTATGCTACATTAGCTCACGCTCAAAACTTGCCAAATATTATCCACTATTTTATTTTGTGTCATTTATTAAACTAACCAACTGGCCCAATCAATCAAGCAAACAGTGCCTGAGTATTAACAATACCGATTTAAAGCTACTTTGCTGCTGTTAGTGTCAGGCCCACCATGAGTATTGGGAAAACATGAACATGACAAAAGACAACAGAACACAATAATTCAAGCTATCAAAACAAACTCCAAACACAGTTGCTCAATTTCATAATAAAAGTTCTTCAAATATTGTGACATCATATTGATATTAGTACAGACCTCTAAAGTGAGAGGTTGCCATGGAAACCCAGTCCAAGCCAGACTGCCATCTGTACATTACAAAGTGTATTTTAAGGCCAGTTAATTACATCAGGGTGTCATATATTTGCATTATTTCATGTGAACCTCTTGAAAGACATGAATGATGAATATCCATCCATCCATCCATTTCCTGATCCGCTTATCCTCACAAGGGTCGCGGGGCGTGCTGGAGCCTATCCCAGCTGTCTTTGGGCATTCTGAACCGGTTGCCAGCCAATTGCAGGGCACACAGAGACGGACAACCATCCGCGCTCACACTCACACCTAGGGACAATTTTGAGTCCTCCATTGACCTACCACGCATGTTTTTGGAATGTGGGAGGAAACTGGAGTACCCGGAGAAAACCCACGCAGGCACGGGGGGAACATGCAAACTCCAGACGGAGCCGGAATCGAACCCTGCACCTTTGCACCGTGAGGCCGACGCGCTAACCAGGGCGCCCCGTGCATGAATAAATGATGACTAACTTACTTTAAACTGGCACAAAGGGTGTCTCCCATAGATGAACTCCCACCGGCCGTTGACCTGTAAGGTGTAATCCTCGGGCTCTTGTCGCAGCGAGCGGAAGACCGTGGCCTTCTTCTTCAGGGCGCTCCTCATCAGAGCCAGCGGCAGGTCCTGTGGCTCCTGCTGCACCATGAAGCTTTCCTAGGACAAATTCACAGTGACGTCTTATTCCTCATTGCGATTTTGACGACTTGCAAAGTGGAGTTTGCGGTGTGGGAGGGGGATTGCATAGGTGCTCACATTTACTCAGAAGCTTACTTTCCCTGTAAATGCTCTCATCTGCAGCTTCTGTCTTCACTATACAAACTGCATTCAATGTGAACTCACATCAGAAGCCTCAAACTGGATATTGATGAAGATCTTGGTGTTTTGTGACTTGCCGCACATCGGCAAAGAGCAGCATGGCTCCAGGTCACACGGGTACATGTACGCCATCCACTGTTGCCATGGGGAGGCCTGCCTCAGTTGAGCCTTCTCCTCGCAGAACGCTCGTATCTTCGTCCGAAACTCACTCACCTCGTGGTTCTTCTGGGCATCAAACTCATGCAGACCTGAAAATAACAAACGTAAAACATTGGTTCAAACCGCTTTGTCTGACTTTCAAGACAAGTCAAGAAACGTCCCAGTCACCCCTGTATTTCATTATTATTTATTTAAATTGCTGTAGTTCTACAAATAAAAAGGCAAATATAAGACCACAATTATACCAAAACAATCCGGATTAAACAGCGCCCCCCCCTGCCCTATTTTTCAGGGAGTGGTCTGCTGGCGCAGCAGCATCTCAGCTGCTGACAGGGACAAACTGGACAGCCTGATAAGGACGGCCAGCTCTGTGACTCCCACCCAATGTGGGACACTATCAAAGCAAAGCGCTCCGTTATAGCCTTCCTTGACAGAGTCCTCAACCCCAATGCATAGCGTATACGGAGTATTTATTGATACACATATTTTGCTACATAGTTCTGGCTGCTGTTGCTGCTGTTCACATGAACATCCGTATATTGTTTATACAGTGAATAGTATTTATTGTTCATGTACTGCTGTCACATATGTGGCTGCTTTTCACTTGCATCTTGGATGATGTTGTAAATATGGACATAGACAGATGGGGAGTTTGGGAGCTTGAACATGATTTTTCTAGTGTGCCACTACTGTTATCGTATTGCAATGCTTCCGGCCGTTGTTTGTCAACACTACCTACTACGCTAAATGCTGCTGGTGGAAGCATCGCATAGATTGTAGACCTTACAAATGCTTACACTATGTATTTTTCTGCACTATAAACCATACCTAAAAACATTCAATTTTTCTCATAAAAATTGTGCGCCTTATAAAACTGATGCGCCTTAGATATGGATCAATATTCTGATTTTTTTGGACGTCGTATTTTAAATGTTTGGCAAAGCGCTTTGTTACAACTGCGGCGGTTGTGAAAGCGACGATTGTGAAAGCTCTATATAAATAAAGCTGCATTGTACTGTATTCCCTCTAGCGCAGCGCCATCTAATGGATGCACAATGTAACCGCAGCCGTTATTGTAGCTTCTATCCTATGTGCCTTATAATGCGGTGCGCCCTATACATGAAAAAAGTTTTAAAATAGGCCATTCATTGAAAATGTGCCTTATACTCCGAAGTGCCTTATAGTGCGGAAAATACGGTATGTTTTATTCTAGGTTTAGACAAGGTACGATCGCCGCAACTACAATTGTCAGGTTTGGAATTCCACTCGAGCATCCAAAATGTGAATTTTATCGGCCTGGTAGGGTGGCTGGTGACGTCGGCAAGTAGGTCTACGTGTGAGTGTCTGTGTGTAAGCTGTGGCCGACAGCAGCTCCTGCGTGAGTGTTCTCCTTGTGTTGAAGTGTTTTACTGTTCTCCCAAGACAAACAAAATATTACAGATGCAGTAGATGCTTTGAATTAGCCACAAAAACAACTATCAATCACCAGGTAGCTAGATGGGCCTCGAAAGTGACTTTTGCTGACCTTTGCCAATCAAAAAGCTGATTTGGCTGTTGTTGAGTTTCTCAACGCGGTCGCCCTCCCTGGCCACCAGCCTTAAAACACCCATGAAGGGCTGGACGTCACTTATGCGCCTCGACTCCTCCTCCAGCTCCTCCCTCTCGCCCGTCTGCTTGATGCAAGTGAAGACGTAGGCGTCTGGATGACCCAGCGCCATGAACAACGCCTCCTCTCTGGCATTTTCCCAAACCATCTGGGAAAAAAAATAAAAATAAAAGAATGAAACAAATCGCTCATCAACTCAGATCCAAATTGGAATATGACAGTAAATATCATTTTTCCAGAGTATTTGTCTTCATTGAGATCATGGGTGAGCTGTCTTTGGGTGACAGAAATGAATTAATAATTGGCTAGATTCTATTCATTACAATACGGTACATCATATTATATCATAACCGAATCTCATCTTCGGCCCTGTTTTCTGGATTTTGCATGTTCTACTTGTGCTTGCATGGGTTTTTTTCCAGGTACGCCAGCTTCCTCGCACAAATTCTAAATCTAATTCTACCCCGTTATTGGCTATGCACCAATCCAGACTGTACCCACCGCTCACCCAAAAATCAACTGGGATTGCCTCCAATGTATCATATTTTTTGTTTTCATCTTTTCCAACTTGGGTTTGGGAGATTTTGTTTGGCCCAGTGAAACCAAGGTTGCAGTTTTCGGCCGAGATTACCAAAACTCAACCCTGCTCATCACCAAAAGTTAACATTATACACCAACAGCAAAGCACGATGGTGGCAGCATCATGCTTTGGGACATTTTTTTTTTTTTCAGATCGAACTGGGGCATTGTATTGGGGCAAGGAATTATGAACTGTTCAAATTAGCAGTCAGTGTTCGTACAAAATTTTCATGATTCTGTATGAAGGCAAAAATATTGGTGGAGAAGCCAAGAACATAAATCTAGAACGGTTGAAATGTATTTGGCATCAACCTGAAGTCCTCCTTTATATAGTGGCTTGTATGTGCTGACTCTCATTTCACATGAGTTTGACTGTGATTGGTTCATTCTGAACACTGCCACATTCCCATTTACAAGGATGTGTGCACACTTGTGCAACACAGAATTTCAGTTGTTTATTTTGACTTCCCCTCTCAAAAAAAAAAAAAAAAAAAAAAAAAAATGAAAAGGGGTGTCTCGACTATATTTTTACAAATAAAGACCTTCCTTTTGATAAACTCCTTACCCCACATCCAGGAATCTTTGCAACAAATAAAATGGCACGTTTTATTTTAACTGAATTCATATATCATTGTCAGTATTTTAATTTCTCAAGGAGAAAATCATTTTAAACTCTGCTGTATGTTTTTATAAAAAACAACAATTAAGCGGTGGCATCTTCTGGCAACAACTGCTCTTCTGTCCTGAAGTTCATCCAAAATGTCATAACCGATCTTTTTTTTTTTTTGGACCGAGAACTTAAAATAGTAAATAAAATGCGATTAAAACATGCAGAAGAAAATACGGAGATTTTATATTTATTCTAGAGATGACAAATTCTTACTAAAACACTGAAACCAAAACTGGATCAACAACTTTTCAAGCCGGAAACTTCTGGAGCACTTTTTACAAATGAAAAAAATAACAAACAAAAAAAAAAAACCATTGAGTCATTTCTTAATTATCTTAAAAGCTTCCAAGAGTATCATTACAAAAACAAAGCTAAATCAAACTGTCTCTGAGGTGGCAGAGTGGTTGGCATGGAAACAGCACATTCACATTCATAAGGAGATTGGCAGCGAAGCGGCCGAGGAGAAATGTGGCTTCTGTAATATCCAAAATTAACGTTGACAATGGAGATGATTCAGCTAGTTAGATTTTTTTCCTAGACATCTCGAACCGAAATCTTGCATATACTGGACTGTTTTTAGTGCTCATACCGTCTTGATGCTCTTGATGGTGTCCTTGTGAGACACCGGGAATGTGAGGTAGATGCCAGTGGGCAACAGGAAGTCCATCTTGATGCCTCGCTCGCCCTCCCGCTCCCACTCCTCCTGCATCCCATACTTCCCCGGGGGCATGTTGTTGACGACGGCCTCTCATTTACGGCCAGCTCCTCCGCGCTGCTCACCACCACACAAAATGCAAATGCTTAAAAAAAAGTATGGCTACGACTGCCGCGTGCGTGTGCGGTTTCAATGTCATAACATGCAGCTTTTTCTAATATCGTGTGGCTTAGGATCATGAACAAAAAAAAAAAAAAAGGGAATGACAATCGAAACAGCGTGGCAGTGCAGGTGTACACCGCCACTACATTACTAATTCCTCGGGAATTTAGCATTACCATATTATCTTTTGTAGTGTTCTTGTTTGCAAAGGTGTACCTAATGAATTGCTCTTCATGTGTCGAGGAGGGAATATGGCACAGTAACTCATGATACAATACTATCGCAATATTTTTCCAAAAATACTGGTAGTATCACAACAACTGGTATGTCTGGTTGATGGTGTAAAAAAATGGAATTAGGAGGTATTCCAAAAATAATTATCCATCCATTTTTCCATTTTGTACAGCTCAAATTCTCAGGGTCACAGCATGCTGTGAATGGGCGAGAGGTGATGCACACCCTGAAGTGGTCGCCAACGCATTGCAGGGAAGGTACATATACAGCTGACAAAAAAAAAAAAAAAAAAAAAAATCACATTCACATCCAAGGTCAACCTAGTCCAAAATTAATATAAGAAGCATGTTTTCTTAAGGAGGAAATATTTTGCAAGCATGGGGAGAGCATGCCAACTCCAAACAGAAAGGCGCGAACCAAAATTGAAACCCTGAACCCCAGTGCGGTCAGGAGACGTGCTGACCACTACAGTCAAGTCTTATGGTGACACTTATTCAAAGTAGTTGCATGTCATGAAAGATATTTTTCCATCAATCTGACATAGCGCTATAGTCATCGACTATGATATTATTGAGATACTTTACCGATGGGACTGACAATATGATGACACAGTAACTGAGCAATGTGATCAATTATGAAATGAAAACTAAAAACATATAGAAATGAAATGATTGCTCCATTAACATAAACATAAAATCAGATGAGTCAGATGAAACGCTGGTCTCATTATATATTTTTATCCTTTTTGAATTTGAATCAGTTTTGTCAATAACACATGACAATCAAGCTTCTGAGAAAACCGTGCTATTGCAACATTCATCAGAAATAAAAGTGTTTTTTGGAAACGCGATAGTACGCTTCCAACGAATCAATTACGACGTCAGGACAAGCATAAAGTAATTCTACACTATTGATTTTGGTAAGGGGACACTTGTAATGTGTGAGCCATATAAAGCAACATGAATGACACTGTACTGTAGTTTTAAAACAGCAAATGAGAAGTAAACTTTCGGGAGAGAAACATCTGAAATTGTAGATTGAGTCTGGTATTAATCATGACGACAGTCTGCGGAGATTAGTGTGAACGAGTGGAAAACACTTGCCTGAGAGCCTTACACGCCGCTCATCGACCCCTTCAAGGATTGCCACGGAGAAGATGGAGGCTGCTATGCCGCCATCGAGGACACGAATTGCGCATCGTGAAGCGTTGCGGCCATTGTGTGGGGTTCACGCCAAGTGGACGAGAGTCTGTGGGCGACCGCGTGGAACGCGTCCACGCTGGGATGTGGCAAGCGCGCAGACTGAGTATCTGCGCTTTACCGCGAAGGTGCCCGCGGTTAAGGGACCGTCTGACAAAAGTCCAGCTGTCCTCCGCGTCAAAAACAAACGTAAAAAAAAAAAAAAAAAAAAAAAAAAAAAAAAAAAAAAAACAAGCTAACAAGCTAACGTAAAATCTTCAGAGCGATGCTGTGTATCAAGCCAATAAATAAATAAATAACAACAACAAAAACATTATTTAATGTATCTGAATCAGTATTTCCACATTCTTATGAAATGTTATCTGTCTATCTAGTTTCAGAAGTTCACTATACCGCACATAAAAAAACTTTAAATATTATTATTATGATTAGCTATTATTTGAGGGGGGGATTGTTGCTATTCAGGCAGATGTTTTAAGCATGTTTCCTCATCCAAGTGCCATTGAACAAAGTCCACCTGCCTGTCAGGATGAATGTCAAGTGCATCTAAAGCTGAGGTTCAAATTCACACACACTGTGCATAGACCTACATTAGGCACAAACAGTATTAGTTCAAGTGAGATTTTTATGCTTCTACTTGATGTGCTCCTTATTTGGTGAACTGTTTTCCCAATTTCAATTTTATAATTACAATCTCCCTAAAATCTGTCACAAACATTCAATTTTTTTATATTAGTGTAAGAGTAGCAGTACCCCATAAGGGCAATTGTGTTAATGTGCACTCATCTTGAAAAACCAATTTCCTCTAGCACCTTCATTTGAATGCAATGTGGACGACACAAGTGTTTGTGAGGACACTCTCGAATAGCTGGCAAAAACAAAACAGGAAATGATGGTGCAGAAGAGAAACTTTTGGTCAGGACTTCAGTAAAAGCATGAACCATGTTTCCCACCCTGTGAACTGAGCAAAACAGAGAGGGTGAGAGAGCAACAACATCAAATAGCATAACCAAAAATGACCCAACAGTATAACGTGGTGACCCCAGACCAACTGGATCGTTCACATGAGATAATTCTCATAGTGTAAGATAATTCTAACCATGTCTCATGTGTGACCCTGGATGCTAATACTGTAACACATCGAAATAGAAATGACAAAGGTGTAGGATTATTTATGATTTAGTAAAAACTATAAGCTTTTGCAAAAGAGGTCCTTGCTGATCATTATACTGTGAGTGAATCTAAAATTGCCAGTGCACACCAGCGACCTTCATGAGGTTGAGCAGTAGACTCTGTTTTTATTGATGAGCCAGTGCCAGGAAGCCAAGACATTATACCTCCTATAACACAAAACACCCCACCTCCAGCCTTTTGTCCTTGAAGTTTTGAGGATTGTCTCTCTGCAGTTTTTGGAAAATGATCAACTTTGTTTCTCTGCATTGAGTTACATAACAAACCAAGTCTAACAATATTGCGTCTGTGTTTACATGGGGTGGAAGGAGGAAAAAAAGGGTGAAATCCAAGTTTTTCACGAGACCCTGCTCCAAAATGATTTTTCCATTAAACAGTAAACAGTTTGTTTTTATTCAAATGTAAAGACAAAAGCCCACAAGTAGAAATTTGCCAAACAAATCCCATTTTGATGACACACTTTTTTTTAAAGCACACAAGACAGATGAGGTGACAACGATCCAGACCATACATATATAATAGATGTGGGCGTGTCCATGCAGTCACAGTCGTGGTAACAGTAGTGCAACATTAAAACACTGCCAAAGAACAAATAAAAGAATGAGAGTATTTTCTCAATGAGTGGCAAGTAGTGTTGATACTGCAGAGTACCAGATGTTTATTCGAGGTAACACAACAGTGTGGCTTCGTAGTCAAAGACTACGGGTGCTAGACTGGCCTGGCTGCAGTCCAGACCTGTCTCCCATTGAAAATGTGTGCTGCATTATGAAGTGGAAAACACAACAACGGACAGTTGAACAGCTGAAGCTGTACATCAAGCAAGAATGGGAAAGATTTATACCTCCAAAGTTTCAACAATGAGTGTCCTCAGTTCCCAAAAGTTTATTAAATGTTGTGAAAAGGTGACGTTAACACAGTGGTAACCATGACCCTGTACTATGTCGGGGCCATAAAATTCAAAGTTAATGATCATTTGGTCAAATGAGTTTTTGTCTTTGTAGCGTATTCAACTAAATATAGGTTGAACATGATTTGAAATAACTGTACTGTATTCTGTTTTGATTTATGTTTAACACAACGAACCAACTTTATTGGAAGTTGGCTTGTAGATGATATGATGGTATCCAAGTATTGGGTGTTGATTCGTTATGGTGGAGGACAAAATACACCAGTTGAATGAGGCAAGTTGTCTCCCTTGAGCAGAGGCCACTATTTGAGGAAATACGGCATTTGAGGTTCACAATGTACACCGTGGATAACATTCAAAAGTACAAGTACAGTATGCAATCAGTTGTTTTTGGGGGAATTTTTACAGCAGCTGTATGTCTTGGCCTCTTGTCGTAACAGCATGACGTCATTACTTGACAGCAGACGGACACTCAGAGTCCCATCCATGATTATAAGCATTCGTTTTTTTTCATCGTTTCAAATTCGTTTGTTCGTTTCTATGCTTTCTAGTCAAGGTCTTTTTCTGATCCAACAAGGAGGAGTTATGATAATAATAAAAGTGCAGTTGTTTTTGGAAAGTGGCTGGCTGCATTATTTGTTCAATGTAAGTCAAAATCATGCAGTGATATTCGGTAGAAGCTGAGCCACCGGGGTGAATAACGAGTCGCGTGGGCATTTTTGTGATGTGTGTGTTTTACGCTTGTAAAACACATCTTCGCGGTTCATTAGAACCAAAGTCAAACTACTTTTCTGCATAGAAAAACAACACGGCTATGCAACACTGACTGATGTGAGAATGTCTGTGTCGAATACTACCTGAATATTAAAACAACGAAGATGAATTTCTAATATCAACCCTGAGAAAAATAAGACTTTTTATTTCTTTTTTTAAAAAGAGTCTGAATATGTACAATCAAGAGACTTGTGAGTGTGCTGCGTGTATTTATCTTCAAAACTTTTTTTTTGCAGAGATTTTAGCATTACATGAACGGGTTCTTACTTGCTGGATTTGATCTTGCTGCATGACAAAATGAACGCAAATTCAAATGTGCTGTTGAGCATATGGGAGATGAGAATTTTAGAATTTAAAGAAGGCGAACAACTTGCTGAAATTTGGTTTATGATTGTCTCAACTGTGACGATCAACACGTTGCCAAGAAAGGAGTCACAGTGCTCTCTAGTGAACACGCCATGCAACAAACATTAAAAACAGACCTCACAATAAAAAATCTCAAATATTTTCAAACATAAATAACATGAGAAAATGATTTGAGCCGTCGACATGGTCTGACCTTGAGCAGTAATGAGGTGAGGAGTTCCCAACAAATGTTCAAATGTCCTAAGTTGATGGAGTCATACTCACAGTTGATGTGGTGTCATGTAGTCACACGGGTGGAATTCAGCAGAAATGTTGAGCCCCCCCACACCGTGTCGCCTCCAACTCATTTCTTGTCAAAGCAAGGGCAGAGTGGAGGAAGAGAGAATGCAAGAGAAACTACACCACTCTTGGAAATACAGAGAGCCCCCCCCCCCCATTTTTGTGATTAATCGATGTGCTGTAAATAAATAAATATTATTTACAGAACACACAAACACAGACGGAAACATTACACAGATTATTTACGGTCTATGTAGCATTTCCGAGTGTGTTTGGGTCTGAGAAATTTTCCTTCCTGTATTGTCCTGATATGTGTCTAAAAAGTAACAGTGGGGGGGCCTCCGCTGTGACTCAGCTTCGCTGACTCAGCTTCGCTGAGTCACAGCGGCTGACTGTGAACCGAAGACAGACGGTAGCACAGGGCCAGAAAGCCGGTGCCTAGCAGGTCTCCAAGGGCTGTCAGGTACGGGATGGAGAAGTTATCGGGGTCCAGCGAACGTCGCCACATCGTCCGAACAATCAGGTCGGCCGCACAAAGTAAGATGGCCACCTGGAGCAAGGAGAACACTGAGCTAAGCAAGCAATAAACCATAGAAATGTGGATTCAAAAAAAACTGAACCAGGACACCAATAAAGAACGGGAGTGAATTCGACCCTGCAACTATCAAGCATGGGCGATTGTATCAGAGCTGTAACACAGAGGAAGAATGGTGATCGTGTATTAGGGTATTCTGCAATAATGGGGAGATGACACTCCTGCCATGTTGAGTCGAGTGACACAGGCCAACAAGAATTGCATTCAATATTAACCTTTTCAGGGACAGCGGTTACGACAGTAGACATCTTACCATGTTATCAGGTTACGGGGTGCATGAAAGGGTTAAAATTAAAATCTGAAATGACGTATCCTTTTTTTTAAGATAAAGAAACAAAATAACAAAAATAATCAGTCTGTTTTTGATTTTGGATTGCCAATAAAAAATTGACAGAAACACACCACAGATTGGCCTAGTGTCATCTCTGTTGAAAAACACAAAAAAACAACCCCCCCCCCTAAAAAAAACTTAATGAGACTGCCAAGTCTACATGCAATGGAGTACCAAATGGTTTCAGTACTCTGAAACAACCAGAAGAGGGTGTTGATAGATGGATAGATTGATCCATCTATTTTCTGAGCTGCTTTGGGTCTCCGGGCACACACATTGACAAACAATCATTCACTCTCATAATCACACCTAGGGACAATTTAGAGTGTTCAATTAATCTACTGCGCTTTTGGAATGTGGGATGAAACCGGAGTACCTGGAGAAAACCAACACAGGCACAGGGGTAACATGCAAACTCCACACAGGAAGACCGCAGTCCGGAATCGAACGCCGAACATGCGCACCACTCGACCACCGTGCCGCAAGTGCAACTATTAAAGTCCAAACTTTTGTTTTGTTTGCTGACTGAAGACCATAAGACTCATTATGAATTTAAAAAATAAAGTATTTTGTAATCTTTGCACTCGATCAACAGAACTGCAAAATAATTAACAAGCAGTCACAAACAATCCTTCACGCCAACGGGCAATTAGAGTCTTTCAGGAATCTAACATGCATGGCATGACCACATGAAAACACCACCCACAAAGTCCGAGCTGAGATTCAAACCCAGATGCCAAGACGAAGAAACCCACATGCCATCGCGCCTCTCTTGTTATCGAGCTACAGGTTATTTCCGCGGTGTCTGCCGTGGATACGATGCCGTGTGAACGTACCTGCAGCAGAGCAGCGCACAGGTAGCAAGCAGCAAAGGTGAACGTGATTGCCACCTCATCTCCCTGCAACAAAGAGATGGCGTAGAGGAAGAGCAGATGACCGGGTATGACCAGCATCAGCAGCACGCGTGCCGACTTGGAGTTCAAACCTGTGGGGTTTGAGAGACACAATCCACTGCAGTCAACATTGACCGCTTCTGTACCATAATCAGTTGTTGCTCGCTCAGACCACCCTAATAAAGGCTCTTTTTCTTGACAGCTGGTGGTGTCAAGGGATTGCTTACCTGAGGAAAAGAAAGTCATGTAGGGATTGGGCCAATGCTGCCTCATCTTGTATGGCAACACTCCTGGGATGCTCCAGAGATGGAGGTAAGTCGACAGTCGGCTGGCCTGGATGGCTACTAAATTGCCAGCAACTCCTAAGATTGACAAATAATAAGCACAGCTGACCCAAATATACGTACTCTTGTACATCACTAAAAAAAACAAACGGAAGTTGAATCTTTTGCCAAACCTGAATGTATCTTTATCAGAAACTCAGAGAATACTATTGTTTTTTTTGTTTTTTTTTTTTGAGTATATGATCGTATGTAATTTTTTGTCTTATATTTTTCCGTTAACTGACCGTATTTTCCGCACTATAAGGCACTTCGGAGTATAAGGCGCACTTTCAATGAATGGCCTATTTTAAAACTGTGTGCACGTATAAGGCGCACCACATTATAAGGCGCATAGAATAGAAGCTACAATAATGACTGAGGTTGCGTTATGCAGCCACGAGACGGAGTTACGCTCAAGGGAATACAATACAATTCAATACAGCTTTATTTATAGAGCCTTAAGAACCGCTGCAGTTTTAATAAAGTGCTTTACAGAACATTTAAAATATTATGTCCAAGAAATCTGAATATTTATCCATACATAAGGCACATCGGATTATAAGGCGCAGTGTCGGCTTTTGAGAAAACTGAATCCTTTAGGTGCACCTTATAGTGCGGAAAATACGGTAATGGTAATGGTTTACACATTTGAGGGAATCCTCAAGACAACTTTAGTCAGTTAGTCATTTCACTCATCTTACCGTTGATAACTGGTGTGAAAACAGCCATTCCCTCAAAGCTGGGATTACTGACCGTCTTGTCCAGTATCACACCTCCAAGGCTGGAAATACACATAATGTCGGGAAATTTAAAAAAACAAAAAACAAATGGGATTACTGACCGTCTTGTCCAGTATCACACCTCCAAGGCTGGAAATACACATAATGTCGGGAAATTTCAAAAAAAAAAAAAAACCTTCAGAAATCTATTTTCAGAAGAAAGACGTGGGAAAACATTTTTTTTTCTCATCTATGGTAACAACTCAGATGTTAAAAAGTGTATAAAAATGAATGAACATTGACTGTGGTGTTTCGATACTCGTACCTGCTGATACACATGGCAACTAGAACAGGTTGCCACCCTGAACAGAGAACTTCTCGACTCTGAGGGTTCTGCCGGGCCACCACAACCCAAAGTGGAATAAGAGCCAGGAAGACCAGACACACCAGCGGGGAGAGGTACCATGTCTCTGTGAACCACAGACAACTGATAAATAAATATTCGACCTGAAATATAATAATGCGTGAGACAAAAGTGACATCCAATAAAAAACAGTGCTGATAGTGATCATACAAATGCCAACACTTTTCATGATGGTCAGCCTATTCTCAATTGACTTCTTACTCTCAGTTAAATCATTTTATAATCTTTCTGCACTTATTATTATTACTTTTTTTTTTTTTTTTTTAGCTACACACCCATTTCAACACCTGGACAGGTTTGGCGCACCTTCCAAAAAGCCAACAAAGGCATCAAATTTAATCATGCATGATAAATATATCATTAATCTTTAAAAAACTGACAAGGGGGTTTAAAGATATATATTTTCACAATTTTCTGGTTTTGAGTTGAAGTTAGTCTTATAAAGGAAAGTTTCATGCTTTTTATATTTTTATTTGGGGGTGGGGGGATACACTTAGAAAAATAATAACATTGTAAATGTGTGCAGCTTTCCGCTGAGCGTGCATCACAACCTCCCCAGCTCAGAGCTGGCCTGCGGTATGCCAACTGCATTTCCTCACCTATGTGTTCATAAAGGGTGCTGCTGACGCCAGCCAGCAGGGAGAGGGTGATCAAATCACCCAAACTGGCAGCGATAGGTGTGGCCACATTATCCGGGTTGATTCCTACCTTCCTGGACCCTATGATCACTCCAATCATCAACAAGCCTGTGAGGGAGAAGAAATGAGAGCGCAGTTCAGGGTAAATGGAAACGAATTTTGAGTGGACAATTATTTTGTTCATGATATCAATCAAATAACTTGTAGAAATGATGTTGGTTTTAATCTCGGGGGAAATCCTGTCATGTTGCAAGTTTGACGACACGACTTGGCCAAAACAAATGAAAACAATTAATGAACTTATCCTGGTATCCTGGAATATGTGTGGTTAAAATATGATGTGGGACAAAGCAGCTAGTCTTGGGTCACTGACCTAAAGAGAGAGCTGCCACAAATGCGGTGATAATGCTACTAGCGCACAGAACAGCTGCTTGGTTAAATTCAACCCCCCCTCTGGAAATTGCTCCTAAACACACAGCCGCAACAGCCGCAAGGAAGCCCACTACAGTCGCTTGGACCTGTGGAGAGTGCACAGTGACAGAAACATTACTAAAGACATTTATGGTTTCAATTTGGGTGAGTACCGATAGATATCGATATCAGGCCAATACCAGCCTTTTTTTCAAGGTATCCTCGCAAAGGGGGCCCCGTACCAATCACCGATACCAAGGCACCCTCTTTTGGCCATTTTACTATCAGGAACTAAACGGCATGCATGGCGGACAGAATGTCCATCCTCTCATATACCCATTGAGATGCAATTTCTGCAAGCAGATGTCTATTTATAAGGTTCACATTAAAGCTTAAGGTGCATTATTAATGTGTTGCTACCAAAATGTGTTCATTTGCTAACTGAATTTCTGACAGAGAGTTTGGCACACTTGTTCGAAATAGGTAAAAAAAAATATTTTCCTCAATATCAGTTGATATGAAATACTTGTGCTAAAGTTTTAGGCCCCTATCAGAGTTAGTAGTTTGTGTTAATTTTGGACTTAAATTCTCAAATTGGGAGTGACCGTTCTACTTTTTTGTCATAAATAAACACAAGGTCTTTCTATTACGTGACCTGTCAGTGGTTTAATAGAAATTGATATCAGTGGTATCGGTTACTCGGTATCGGTGAGGGGTCAAGATTGTACTGGTGAAAAAAAAGTGCTATCAAACATCCCAAGTTGAAATACTAGCAAATTAGTGGTTAGACATTTTGGCCAATAGTCCCTAAACACTACAGATATAGGGAATTGATCAAAAACAAACTAGAAAATATTAATGGGTGTAAATATTATTTGTGTAAAAAGATGTTATTGTTTTTGTAAGTGTTCAAAAAAAAAACAACAAAACAAAACTATGGTTATCGTTTTCCTTAGCACTGCTCACAAACCCAAACCAATCACGGCATAGCTCACCTGTATTAGTGCAAGATTGCAGCACACCATGGTCCATTGCTTATTCGGGTCGTCCATTTGTCCTGTGTTGGCCTAAAGAAAAGGTCACACAACAAAATGACAGTCATCCATCCATCCATTGCATTGAATGAGCTGCAGAAGTGGATGGACGGAAATTCAGAATTGTATCACAATTCACATTTTACGGGTAAATGCAGTCAAAAAGGCTGTTTCCATTTATTGATTGGCTACAAATCTCTTCATTTCTAAATTGCTCTGTGGAACAAAAAACAATTGAGTTTCTTATGGAGGCAGTCAGATGAGGAAAAATATCTTCGGTGCAACTATTCTCATTTTATCTCACCGCAGTGGAGAGGCGAGCAGCGAGGGTCATCTCCAGGTTTCCCTTGAGTCCGACGAGCGCAGGGACGAGAATAAACACCTCTGTGATGACCTTGAACACATCCCAGTGCTGAAAGACACATGTGAAAATGAACATGGTTCAGATCGGTACAGGGGATTGAACAAAAATGGAGGACTCCTCATTTCAAAAATAGAAGTTTTGGACATATTAAAGAGAATATGCTTATGTCTACAGATGTACCTTATGAGCCTCCTGACCAGCTGATGTGTTAAATAAGTGCACTGCGTATTCTAGACTAACCTACTAGCCTATTTCCCCTTGATTCCACGTCCTTGGTCATCGTGCGACAGCACAGGTTCGCCGGGTGCACAGGATGCACAGTTTGGATCTCACCTCTTTTTTTCCCCTCGACTAAAAGTCTACTTGGCAGGTTCATTGGGTTTAGATCTTTAAATAGATGCATCGAAGGCAACGGCACAGCTGCCAAGGGAGAAGTGATACAGAGAAAAGGCAGGGCGGGAAGAAAATGTGCAGTTCAATGCAAAAGTGAACATGTTCGAGTAAAAAAAACAAACAAAAAAACAAGTGCAGCTATTTTCATGGAAGCTGATTCAAATGCCAAAACAAATGCAAGCACACTTGGTAGTTTTGGTAGGAACATTAGTTAGCTCCAGTGATGCAAGATGGGGGTCCTCTGCTTCTATTACCGTAATTCTTCAATTTGCATCAAAAGCAAAAACTCACACTGTACAGTGGAAATGGGTACATGAAGATATTTTTAGACACAACTCAGAGACCGAAATGAAATGGCCCCCAACATGTTGTCTTTTTGTTTGTTTCATTTAAGATCACTACTACTCACACGTTATCGTCATAGGGGAGCGAAGGCTGGAACATACACTTTACACAACGGATGGGGACGGGCGGATTCAGGCGACCGCTGTCACACTGTGAGGTTATATCGGCAGACGGCCTCTTTCTGCAGCAATACGGCTCCTGCTGATGGCAGTGTGTCAGGCAGGGAGCCAACGGTTAAACTAAGTGTTGCTTGGGGGATCGAGCAGAAAAAAAAAAAAAAAGATGTCTGGCACATCTTGGCAGACCTTGCCTGTATCATTACAATATTTTCAGCAGACACATTGCTCATGGATGGATGGATGTCTCAGGACAAAGTGATTAATACTTCATCGGCTTCTAAAACTAGTTATTGTATTTATTTATTTTGGGGGGGATTGGCGAATCTTTCTCTCTGAACACTTGTGACACTTAAAAACAGTGTCGTAAGAAACAGAATACCGCTGCCCTGAGGCGTTAGGCCAATAGCAGAAATCTGCACGATTGGATTTTCCTTTCCCATTGATGTCGTCATTCCTTTCTTGTGTTTCTTTAGATTGCAAACAATCACTTATGAACTTCAATGCAATGGTTTTTAACTTGACGCCTTTTTATTTTATGGCTGTATAACGTCTACTGGGCGGCCTGGTGGTCGACTGGTTAGCGCGTCGGCCTCACAGTGCAGAGGTGTAGGGTTCGATTCCGGCTTCGGCCTTCCTGTGTGGAGTTTGCATGTTCTCCCCATGCCTTTGTGGGTTTTCTCTGGGTACTCCGGTTTCCTCCCACATTCCAAAAACATGCATGGCAGGTTAATGGAACACTCTAAATTGTCCCTAGGTGTGAGTTTGAGTGCGGATGGTTGATTTGATTTAACAACAAATTAATCTGGAAAACAGAGTGAACTGTATACTGTTTTTTTTTTTTTTTTTTTTTTTTTTTAAAAGAGATTTTGGTTCGTGAGAACTCAATCCAATGTGTCCTTCATCGGACAGATTTTCATACTTGTATCAGGTCCATGACGACGCCAGCGAAGACCAACCCGAGTCCTGACACCAGGAATGGCACCAAGACCTGCAGCGCAATGAGCCAAGAGCGCTCAGGTAGAAAACCGTGTTCCGAGTGTGTCAGCTTCCATGTCACACTACGTAACTTATTCCCGTGGTAGCGCAGCTCCAGCTTGAGATGAGTCACAGCCATGTCGTGTGAAGGGGTTATCTCAGGTTAATGTCGTCGTGCCATCCCAGGAAATGTGAAAGTTGGGAGTTGAGGCAGTGGAGGCAAGAAAGAAATTGGAGAAAAAGAATCGATGTCTTCAGCTCCAACGTGAGAACTGATCAGATCTTGCGGTCTCTCCATAAATAAAGTACGACGTTATGAAAAGTCCAAAAATAGCAACAGCCTTTTCCTTGAGAAGCTTACACAAAATGAAGCAACAATAAAGGCAAAAACAAACAAACAAAAAAGTCAATTCAATGTCGCCTAATCTGTCTGGGCATTTGATTGACAAGTGCAAGCAACAACATTAACCTCCAGACCTCACTTAAAAGCATGAAATACATTTAATCCATCATGCTAAATTGAAATTTGAGGTAGATTTAAGATTCTGTCATATACGCAATTAAAGTTACTAGGAACAGTTTTAGGGTGGTTTTTAGAACTTTGACAACTAGATTTCGGTAACGAGTAAAATATTGTAAATTTGTGCTTTCGTTACATTTGTAAGGAGAGTTCAAGGTTACTTTTTCCTTTTCAACCTGCCATAAAATGATGCGTGGCATCTATGACCCAGTGGTGAGTCAGCAGTGACGATCCATTTAGCAGCACCACTTGGTTTAACACTCTTCCCCTGCCATTGCTCAAAAACTCACAATTATTCGTCTCATTGCCCGACATGTACGATCCAACTCTTGCCTAACATGTTCGAAATGGTTTGAACTAACCAGGCTTTCAGCAAAAAAAAAAAAAAAAAAAAAAAAAAAAAAAAAAAGTTGTTCAAATGAAAAGAGAGGTTGAAAGGACAAAAGTACAGATTTCCGCGCAGTCTTCATTGTATTTAGTCCTCATTTTGATCTCCTGAGCGGAACCACAGCCACATCACTCATAAAAAATGATATTGTTGACAGTTTAATGAAGGACTGAATCCAATCTGTCTGGAGCGAGCAGTGTTTCGACTACTGTCCATCCGGTCTCTTTCTCTCTTTCTCTTTCTCAGTGAGGGGGGAAAAAGAGAAAACAAAACAGGTCCGTGCTGTCAATAAGTAATCCAAAAGACCCTGTCACAAGATGCGGCAGCTGGTATCTGACTGGCTCCAGTGTTCCTCCTCTGCTGGACAGCATCAGGGTGGTGGTGTTGCTCTCTCTCCTCCGCTCCACTCTGCTGTGACGTAGCACATGAAAAGGGGGGGCCGTATCTCCCTGCAACGTCATTCCCATCCAGGAAGGCATTGACAAGCTTACCGGCACGCACGAAGAGTCTTGCTTTTTCTCGACACTCGTCTCCCCCACAACCTGGCTGCTTCTGACCATCTGGATGTAACGTTCTACTTAACACTATCCCTACTTGTTCTTTTTTTGGTCAACCTTCCGTATATCGTGCCCACCCTTGCCTTCATCCATTCCCTTTAAAAAAAAAAAAACATCTGTAGTACAGACTTTTTAAAAACATTTTTTACGGTATATGGCCTAGTATAGCCGATACCAAGATAAACGCTGACCTACCTATGACAAAAATTTCTTTGAGTCTGTTTGCCTGAACTAATATCTTCTCTTTTAGCTTCCCCCAAAAGCAATTGCCAAATATGTTCTGGCTGTAATTTGCATGATATGTATGGATCAGTTGATGATGCCAGATTGCTTCTGAGCGCCAAGTCCCCGATTACCCATGCTTGGGACGAGAAAACCTCAGGGGTTGGTTGTTGAGTTTTAGATAACTGTGGCAGAAGCACCTATGGGGTCCAATACACTTTCAATCCTCCTTTGCCAACCCCCCCCCCAAAAAAAAAACCCCCAAACAAAACTGTTACTTGGGTCCTTTTCTTTTTCTTCTTCTTTTATTTTCTTACTAAATGCACTAAGGTGTGGCACCCAAATTTCGTTGTATGTAATACAATGACAAGAAAGACGATTCTGATTCTTTTCTGTAAATTCACATATTCACTTTACCCCCAAGCACATCAACGCAATCTAGTTTCAATTTAATGAGTTGCACATTTATCTTATATGCCGCAATTTTAGACTGAGATCGGTTTGAGCTAAGGGGCCAACAGAGAGCATACTATGTAATACAGAATAAAAAGTGGTCAAGATGTCAATCACGATGGTCTTTCTCAATGGGAAAATGATGTCAAGTGTGTGTCAAGATGATGGTAATACCTAAAAGTAGAATTGTTCTTCTTCTTCTTCTTATTATTATTATTATTAGTAGTAGTAGTATTTTTGGTCCTGCATTCAACAAGCGCCTTGATGGCATCTTTGCTGCCTTCCCCTTTTTAGAGTGTGCATCCATTTCTCAGACACAATGGACTTTTTTCCCCCCCTCCTGAGACTTAAGTTGAGCTAAAGGTCATCTTGTTAGATAAGATTGAAATGATATCTCCGGGTAGGAATAGAAAGTACTTTTTCTCATAATTTCAAAGCATCTGTACAGAAAATAATATGATCAGCTTTGGGGTGGAACAAAAACAAACAAACAAAAGAAAAAGGATTTAAGAAAACAGTTACACCCCAGCTACAGCCAGAATATTTTTGTCTTCGTGTCCTTTCCATTCAGACACGGTGTGTCCTTTTAAATGCACCCGAGGACATATTCAGGCAAACCCATTATCAGTCACAGACTGCGAGCAATTGATGGCGCTCAGGGTGTGATTAAATGTGTTAATCAGTGAAGAGGAAAGAGGAATGAGATATCTACCAGCTCATCACACAATATCCAGCAACAGGTCTGATAGTAGGTGGTAAACAGAACCCCCAGGGGGGCGATGAAGGACAAATTGGACCACACACACATTTAACAGTACAAAAAAATACCCTTTTCAGATGAATTTAAAACTAAGGAGGCTGCTGAAAACACAAAAACATTAGATGGACCAAACACCAAAACAGCACAAACCTATGCTAAGAAATGTTTTTCTGCTTTCAGAAATATATATTTTGCTTTTTCAGGGTCCAGGTTGGTCAAAAAAGGACAGAACCTGCTGATCAGAGGGCACAACCTGATTACGGATGAGCTCATCCGGTATGGAGAGTTTTGAATGAACTTACCTGTACATGATCCAGCACCATCCCTGCCATCACCATTCCCATCCCAGCCAACAGGTATGGAAAAAGAACTTGCAGACATATCGCTCGTGATGACTCCTCTTCATGTTTGGCTACAGCTACTTTGAGTTTTGCTTCTGGTGGCTTTTTAGGAAGCGGCTGAAGTTTAGTGGGTAAGGTGAGCTGCTGTCCATCCAAGGTACCGGCCAGACCTGCATTGGGACCTACACCAGGGCTCTTCCCTTTGGAGTGGGGCTTTTTGTTCTTTTTCCTCTGGCGACTTTGTTGTGATGTTTTCCCTTCGCCAGGCATGATGTCTGTACTGGTAGTAGTGGTGCTGTTTTAACTAGGAACATACAAATGATATGATTAGGGATGATAGAAGATGTGTGCTGTTTTGCTCATCCTCAAAAATGACATCGCTTGTTTACAATATGTGGAGGAAGTGAATAACAATGTATTGACGGAAATAGTCACTCTTTTGACATTGCATCCACTCAGCAATCTGCACTGAATAATGATGGAGTTAACATTGCTTTTGATTGTTTGCTTGGTAGTTGGCAGGACTGTGCACAATTAATTAATCGATTTTCAAAGAAATTATTGAAACGTGGACAGAATTGTGCTAGTGTTTATCACATCTTCCTCCTGTGTAGCGGTTTGCATGTTCTCCCCATACTTGCATGAGGTTACTCCCGGTCCTCTGGCTTCTTCCCATATTTTAAAAACATGCACGTTAGGTTAATTAAAGACTCTTAATTGCCCACATTGTAGTTGTAGATATGAGTGTGAATTATCTTTCTATATATTCCCAGTGATTGGCTGGCAACCGATCACTCTCTTGGCCTCTGGGCCAAAAGTTTGTCGGGATCTTGAGGACAAACAACAACAACAAAAAAAACATTCTGTTGCCAACCTGGAACAGATGCACTTTTTATTGGTAAGATTTCAGAAATGTCTCCAGTTTACTCAGAGAATGCCTGAATATTAATGATTTAACTCAGGCTTTTGCAGGGGTTTGATTTGTTAATAAATAATTGTACTTGGTGGAGGTTTTTGCTGTAGTGTGCGGAATTGTAGTCATTATATTATTGTGCATCTATCCACTTTCTATAATACCGCTCTAATGTCGCGACTGAGCTGGACCCAGCTGACTTTGAGCGAGAGGTGGACTGAAGTCAGCTGGAGTGGCACCAGTGTGTCAATCGCAGGCCACATAAGAGACAATTGTTCACACACAAAAACATACCAATTTAGAATCTGCATTTACCTAAGAAATGTTTGGTGAAGCTGGAGTACGGGGAGATCATGCAAACCCCACCGACCAACCATCCATTATTTCGCTGCTGTTACTGAAATGTAACAAATATGAATACACACATCAAACGGCCAAGGCGTTCCGAAAATCTGGGAGAAAGCACTCATTTATCTATGTCCGTTTCATTGGAAATCAAAACAAGAAAAAAAAACGGCTGAGTTTGGAGTAAGAGCCAGAACGACTGTACACCGGAAATGGCCATGCGCACAGCCCATAATATCGCTTCTATGGAAACAGCTGCAAAACTAGGCGCTCTCTGATTGGCTGAGAAAAAGAGTAAAAGTGTTATGAACTCAGAGGCTGCCCCCAAGTGGATAACGGGGGTAACTGTTCTCCCTCATCTGTACCGTGCGTTTTACGTTACAAATTAACACACACGTTTATCAAACTCAAACTCAAATGTGCAAGTGGATGAATCAGTATAAAAAAAACAATTAAATGAAAGAAACAATATTACATTGGCAGTAATGTTTTTAATTTTATGAAAAGACAACATACTGGCTGGAAGTATTACTGTATTTTGCACTGGACAGTAAAATAAAGTGTTAAAAACATGCATACCACTCTTTCACAAAGACTATGGTCTTCATGCTGAGTGAAAACACTCATCAAGTTATTGTGCCTCGAAAAAGAACCTCTTCCGCTCTCCTCCCAGAATGCAACATACACAAGGCTACAATACGCAAAGAGGGAATAACAATTTAAAGTGGGGTTGAGATTTAATTTATAGTCCTTACCTTTGTCTTCACAGTTTGAGGGGGTGTGTTCATGTAGCCGAGCTAGCCACAAACTTCCAAGAATAACTACACTTTGCTCAGAGAGAGAGAGTGAGAGAGAGAGAGAGAGAGAGAGAGAGAGAGAGAGAGAGAGAGAGAGAGAGAGAGAGAGAGTGTGTGTGTGTGTGTGTGTGTGTGTGTGTGTGTGTGTTTAACCGTTTTTAGCATACTGTAAATGTCTGTCTATATTGAGGCTGAGCGCATATTTTTTCTTGATCTTAAACTGTGTCCTAAGTACTACACGCAATATATTATGAAGTATAGTGCGCATGCACCGTGGTGCACCGTCTTGAATTTCATGGCGTTGGCAGATCAGACCACCCCCTCCCTCTTCCTCCTGTCCTATTCCATCTCGCTCGGGTTGATGACAGTAGCCAACATAACTTGCACTTTGTCGGGCATGGAACAAATTTACTTGACATTGGAAATACAGTTTCTAATCAAGTTGAAGTTCAAGCATCATGTTGCAAATCAGGTCACTATGACAACTGTACTTACTTTATTGGTTCTTGACGACCAGCATTCTTTCTTTAAGGCTCAAATTTACCGATTAAATTAAAAACATGGAATGTAAACTTCTGCCTGTCTTGACATTGTGGCTTTCTGTGACATCTATAATATGCTACAGTACATCCATTCATTCTGCAGTCATAGGAATTCCATCTTTTTAATAGAAGCGACTCTTGGCTTGTCAAGAAGAGCTTTTACAGCTCCCAAACGACTCTTTAGATTTTTTTTTTGTTGCTTTAATTAGTATAAGGTAAAAAATAATAAAAGTAATAAAAAATAAATACTAATGTGATGCATTATTTTAAAAATGTTTTTATTTTTTTATTATTAAAAATATGACTTTATTTACCTATTTTCGGTTCACTGGTGTGATTAACCATGAAGTATGACTTGTTTGCACTTGCCAAAAATATCAATTGTAGTGCCAGGCAACAATTATATATCAATATATATTGAAATTGTGTTTTATTTAATTTTTATCTTTCATCAATGTAATTGTTTTTCTAATTTCAAATAGGTAAAAAAATCAATAATTATCAATAGACTGATATGAAATACATATGTTGTGATACACCCAGCCCTACTGAGCTCATTATGTTTAAAAAGAGGTTTACTTTATCTCTAAATCGACTAGTTAATTAGACTTGTATTTAATAGTTGTGTTAACTACTTAGTTCAGGTTAAATATTATATTTTAAAATAAAGTGACCAAAATTCGACTTCTACTCCTTAATCTAAAGAGTAAAAAAAGAAACAATTTATTTGCCCTATTCTGGAGAAGATTCTCAAGAGGTTACTACTGTTGCTCTAATGCACAGTTTCCAACATCAACCGTAGCTGTTGCATGTGACAAACTGGCATAATAATGATTAATTCTATTAATATTGTAACATGTAGTGTGTGGTTAAGGATGACACAGTTGCTCATGCTTTTCACATTCCTTTATTCCCACAAGTTGTAACTGAAACAACATTCATTGAAGAGCTGCTATTGGCCACAACTCACACCCAGTCACTCCACACACTGACCCCCTCACTTGAGCCAAAGTTCAAACTTAAAGGCCCTTTCACACTGCACTTAGCGGCATGCCTTTGACAAACCCATTCTTTGTGTACGTGGTGAAGGGTGCACTGCGGAATGCAGCGTTGATGGGCGGCTTGGCGCGGTAGGAGCGTGTTTGAGGTACCTCGAAGTAAAAACTATTCTATATTAAATTCTGTTTGAGATGTGACGTCAGAAAGTGCCTCAGGTGACACGGAAGAGGAAAAATAAACATTGGGGTTCTCTCGTAAAGATTTGCGTTGCCTCGCAAACATTGCGAGAGAATGTTCTTCCTCAGACCTCTCTTCTTCTGTTGGAACAAACAGCAAAACCAAAATACATACTGTACATTTAAAATGATCCCTGAAAGCTCAGGTATCATATTAATGAGCAAAGATGAAAACGAAGGACGTTTGTGCAATTATTACAGTTAGTTTTTCTTACTTTTATAAACTTAGGTTGTAGTTTCAATTCGTTTTCTAATTTTGTAACTTTTTGGTTAGCTATGATAACCTTGCAACCGACACATGGCTACCACGCCAGAAAACTGTTGCTTGTAATTCGAGTCGCATTCGTGTGCAAGCAAACTAAATTTCACATTACTGATTTGCAGTGCATAATCCAAAGATCCTGTTAACCTAAGGATACATATGAATCTGTTTGCGTTTATACAAATGATAATTTGATATATATTAAAAAAAAGATTTCCTGAAGCTAAATCAACTTCTGGTACATGAAAGGGATTTGTAAGAAATCCATATGGTAAACACATGTAGTGTGGTAGTTCAGTCATAAAAACGCAGCTTGTCGCTTGATCCTTGATCTTCTTCCAGTTGCCCACTTCATTAGGAACAGTGGTATTGAGTATGATAGGCCAGGGTGGATACTTTACATCAGCCGGTACCGGTCCGCAGGGCATTTGGTACCGGGACGCACAGAAAGAACTTGCCTTAATTCCGTTTTATTTCGGAATACGAAATATATTTTATTTTGAAAAATTACCGGATACTCCGTTACATCCGTCTGTGTCACGCTTGACACACGTCAAGCCACGCTTCTACGTCACGTGACCGATTATGCTAAAAACAAAACGCCGGAGCTAGCAAAATGAGTTAAAAAAACCGCTGGAGATCGCAAATGACGGCGGCCTTAAAAGTACCTTCGAGACAACTGGATTAAAGTTATGGCTGAATACTCTGAGATCGCCACAATAGCACTGTTGCTATTTCCGACATCCTACCTGTGTGAGGCGGGGGTTTTCTGCAGCAATGGCGACTAAAACAAAATTACGAAGTAGACTGGAGATAAACCACACACTTGAGGTGTCATTGTCTCCTATTACCCCGAGATGGGACCGTCTGGTTGCAGATAATCAAGCTCAGGGCTGTGGTGAGTCGTCATTTTCATGCACTTTGAATTTGCGTTGTATCGTATTTTGAAGGCATTAAACATTACCATAGCGATCAGAGTGTTGCGGCCAGATTAGACGCTCCTTGTGTTTATTATTATATTTCGAAAACACCACAGTTTTCATGCAGCTCATACCATATTATTTTGTTGTATTATTTCCGCCACACCTTAAATGCCGGTCCCTGAAAATATTGTCTGACATAAACCGGTCAGTGGGGCAAAAAAAGTTGGGGACCCCTGCTTTACATAGAATTACTCTCTCTCTCTCTCTCTCTCTCTCTCTCTCTCTCTCTCTCTCTCTCTCTCTCTTCTTGATTTCACCACTAGGTGGTAGCATGGATTAATGAAACGGTTTCTTTACAAGTCAGCTGACTCAAAGCATCATCCCTGCGGTTCATACTATATGGACAAAAAGTATTAGGAACACAGGCGTATCTATATATTAATTTTGTTTTGATATTTTCTTTTTCATCATTAGAGCCTCTGCCAGCTGACGTGGGGCATATGCGGGGTACATCCTGGATTGTCTCCAGTCAATCACAAGACACATGTTGACAAACAATTTATGTATAAATAGAGACCTGTTATTGTTGTGTTCATATCGAGGACTAATTCAGAGTCCTCAATTACCGTAATATAACTTGCATGATTTGGAATGGAGAACATGCATACCCAGTACAGGAAGCTGATTCGAACCAATGACCTCTTGAATTTGAAGCAGACATGCTTTCAAAATTGTAAAATAAAGGTTCTCTTATCTTATCATATTTTAACCACGAACCAACTGTGTTTTCTTCTTGAGTGTTCCCAGCATTTTTCCATTGGGTGCAATACTCATCGCCATTTTTTTGGGGGGGTCATTGCCAGGCTCATCACACACTCTAACGTTCACGTTTGCATTGCCTTCGCACTACACGCTACAATATTATACCCTTCAGTCTCCACTTTGCCACTGAGGCCCAATTTTGTTGCTGGCCTTATTTCGGAATGAGAATAAGAACATCAGAACATCTTTATTGGCCAAGTATGTGTGAAAAGACACAAATATATTGTCCCTGGTAGTTGAATGCTTGCGTTCCTTACCCTTGTCAACACATCCTGAGTTGAACCACGTTTTGACTTGGTGTTTGCTTACTCCGACCGATGCATTTACTATTAATGTGGTCTTCTCGGTTTCCCGCACTACTACCGTATTTTGAAATGGAAAAACCGCAAGGCCTGGTTGTACAGTGGAAAAGTGGCAAGGGGTTTAGCCTAACACCAGTGATTCATTCATACTGTTTATTAAATTACTGGCTACACTGAAATATTCGTTCCGAGCTACTGTTGTGTCCCAAGGCTTTGATCTCATGGGAGAAGGCAACTGTGATTGCGACCATAGCTTAAGGTCTTCATGCCAATAGGCCTTAGTGTAATCAGTTAATGTAAATCATTTTATACTTCCAATGAGGGTTGGAAAGTCATG